AGTTTTAAAAGTGTCCTTTTTCTTTGTCGTCACTCAGCATCTGGGTCAGCCTGTAGCTCTGAGAGCTCCCTCCCGAGCCAGAGGCGGGGCCCCCCTGCAGCCTGGGCCTGGGAAAGGCCTGCGGGCTGTAACCCTGCCAGGCCTGCCCCTGGCTGCAGACCCCTTGCCTGTATCAGGCCCTTGTTCCCTGCAGGGCCGTAAAGGGGCTTGATGCTCCTGAGCGTGTCCCCACCTGGGACACTGTAGCGCATCAACCCCAACCAAGCTGAGAAGGGCAGGGGTGGGCACATGAAACCCCGCTGGAGACATAATCACTGTAGCAAGTGACTGCTGGTGGGCACCCAGTCTCAAGGATGACTGGCATTTCGACCCTGTGACTGGAAGAATGGAAATGCCACTAACAGAGTCTGGGAATGGGGGGGACGGGATTGGTGGGGGGAGCAAGATGGCAGCTGTGAGCGCAGAGGCGAGGGGTTGGCCAGGGGGTCCGGCCCTGCGGGGGTGGAGGGGTCGGGGGAGCGGCGTGGGGGCCCTGACACCACAGTATTCAGAGGCGATCAATCACTGCCTCTGATCTCCGGTGCAGAGAGGGTGAGAGGAGTGGGTGAGGGAAGAATCATGGGGCAGGGGTGGGGCCCTTCGGTTAAAGAGGAGGAGGAGGGGGAGGAGGAATAGGAAGTTGCCGAGGAACCTGGGAAGCCTTTCAGAGAGGAGGAGGCCGTCAGCACAGCTCAGTGTATTAAAATGCTTAATTGCTAGTCAGAGAAGCCAACTCTGCTAATTTTAGGAGAAAAGACACATATTTAAAAGTTGCTTTGGTGGCTTCCAGAATCTCTGGAAGGACTAAGCCAGCAGGTTTGGAGCTCTGGGAGGAAGGGACCAACAGAGACCACTTCTCCTAGGGGGACACTGGCTTGTATTTCTGACGCTGGATGCCCCAGGTCTCTAAGCACTGTGGCCCCTTCTGCTCCAGGAAACTCAGTCTTGAAGCTGGCATTGCAGCCAAGGAGAGACCCTGGGCCCTAGACGCTTCTGTGCACCATAGGCCCTGATTCTAAGAGTTCCGGTTTCAGGACGGAGCTCTAGTTGCAAGGGAGGCTGGGAAAATCTATACCATTTTTCGCTTTTACCCGGGGAGGTGGATTTATAAAACAGATGGAATGGACAAGGGCCTCCTGAGTGTGTGCTTGGAGACGGAAAGGGAAAGGGGGACAGACAGACAGATGCCAGCGGGGTCCAGGGGCCGGTGGGGAGGAGCCGGCGGATGGGCGGCGCGTTGCGTGCGAGGAATCAGGAGACGCGGGGGTGAGCGAGAGCTTGTTCTCAGAAGGAAGGAAGAGTCAGGTCGAGGAAACTTGGCGGCGCGGCCTCCCTGACTCAGAAGGAAGCGATTATCGGTACAGGTGGTGCGGCTCCGCGAGGCGGTGGTAGCGCCAGAGGCTTCGGGAGGGAGGCTCTGGGCAGCAGGGGACAGGAGTTCAGCCGCGCCCCCTGAAGGTGACCATGGCCTGAGACACACCTGGGTGCGGCTGCCATAGCCCGTGGCAGGCCAGGCGCCGTCCCCGGCAGGTTTTCTTGCGCTCAGTCTATGCGCCTCTGTAGCAGGATACCTATCTTCCGTGCCCCTTCAGGAGGCCAGCATCAGACCTTCCTTTCTATTGGCTTCCCAGTCTCCCCCACGGGGAGGACCTGCCATGGGCTCCCTTTACCAAAGTCGGGGGGAGGGGTGCAGGAGGGCCTGCTGCCTGGCCTCTGGGGTCCCGTTGGGGACTGCCCATTTGTCACCCTATTTCTTCTGGGAGTCATCCCTAAAGTTTCCCTCTTGCTTAAGAAACTAGTTCCAAGTCCCTAACGGTTGCCACAGTTGTATCGTATAGTCTCTGCTCCTTGCTCCTGACCCCACCTGCAGAACAAACTGACGTCCTCGTCCACCTGGCCCTCCTTTAGTGCTACCTGAACAGAGGATTCTTTAGAGAGGCGGTTTACCTTCCCTGGCATAGACTATAGTTTGGTAAATACAGGTTATGATTGTTTTGGATTTCCTAACAGCTATACTTCACTTATGATCAGCTGTATCCCAGAGGGTTTTTTTTCCCTCCCATAAGCACTGTCAAATCAAGTCTTTCTCATCCTGTTCTTAATTTACACAAATATACAGAGGGACATCTGCTTTATCTGCCTACTCCTCCCTCTTCTGGGGAGCCACTCCTTCCCCGTTCCCTGTGGTTCTCATGGGGCAGTCAATCTCAGCCTCCTACCCTATCTCCACTTACAGGGATGGGCATGTGACTCAGGCTTAACCAATCATATCACCTCCTATCCCTGACAACAACTAAGCATGTGACGCAAGAATCTATCATGGGAATACAAGGAAGGTTTCCTTTGCTCGTGGTCCTCGGAGAAGACACCATAAGCTTGGGACCACGACGGGCATTTTCAACAGCTGCGTAGAGCAAGTCCATTTGCAGTGGGAGAGAAGAGGCTGTTCCCCAGGGGGAAAGCAGGGCTCAAAGACAGGAAGAAGAAACAGGAGCCCCAATGATATTGACAGGCCCCTGGGCTCTAGCTCAGCCACAGCCAATAAATACCCTTTCTGTTTAAGTTGGTTGCATTGGGTCTTTGTCACTTCCAAGTGGATGAGCTCTGACTAATAATAGCACTTTTGAAAATACACTTAATTGTGAAAGGAAAAGTAAAACAAGCAAATCATCCCTAATCCAATTTTTATTTATACAAAAAATTGTATCATACCTTATATAGTCAATACTCTGTGTGTGTGTGTGTGTGTGTGCACGCACGCGTGTGGTGGTGGGATTGTTAAAATCCAGACACATGTTCCACCATCCAGCACACACGCCCCTTTGCAATGTGAGATGCTCTTGCTCCTTCTGTGCAGAGGTGGAGTTGATTCTCTTTCTTGCTGCATCTGGGCTAGTCCTGTGACTTAATTATTTGAGCATTAGAATGCAGTGGAAGAGATGTCTGTGACCTTCAGAGGCCAGTAGGCCAGCGAAGACACCAGGTCAGTTTCCTGAGGGACGAGGCCACAGGGGGGACAGCAAGACAGCCCCGCCCACAGCCAGCCACTGCCAGGCACAGGAGGAGGCCACCTGGAACCTTCCAGCCCAGCTCTCCTTCTAGCCGAATGCAACCCTATAAATGAATCAACACCAGCAAAGTTGCTGGCCCGTGAATTCACAGAATCGTGAGAAATAATACATTTTAGTTGTTTTAAACCACTAAGTTTTAGGGTGATATATTACATAGTCAAAGCTAATTGAAACAGATTGTGTTTTGCACTTTTTTCACCTAATTACACATCATTAAGGTCCTTTTGGTTGCAACCAACAGAAATGAACCCCGGGCAGCTTAGATAAAAGAGAAACGCGTGAGAAAGTTCCTGTAGGAATTATCTCAGGGAACAGAAGGTAAAGTTCGGGAGGGCAGAAGTCAGGGCCGCTGTGGGGATGTCAACCATGCAGCGCTAACGACTTCTGGACTACTAACTTCAAGCTTCCCAGTGGGCAGCGTCTACCCTCTGGATCATTGAGCTAAGAACGGGGACGGGGAGGGCAGTCGGAGTGGAAAATAGTCGGTGAAGTCGGCAAAATTCCAGTATGGAAGGTGGGCGGAGTCACTCACTCGCGGCCGAGGCTTGTTCTTCCACTGCTAAACATGTTTTGGTTTTCCAAACGCCTTTTCTTTCAAATCTCTTTGTCATCAATCTAAGAAGGCTCCCGATAAAAAGGGGGAGGAACGTGTGTGGAGCCACTGTAGAAACTGTTAACAAGCACGGCAACGTTGCGACTTCTGCACAACGCAGCTGAATGTCAAGGTTACATAGGCAATGGATCTCTGAACGGGTGGTGTGACAGCTTTCGTCAACAGTTTAAAAATGTTTGGGGTGTAGACAAGAAAGGAGTTGTACTAAAACATAAAGAGGGGTTAAGGCCAGAGTAACAGGTGTTAACAGAGAGGAAGAAAGCAAGAGGCAACCCGTGGACTCGGGGTTGTTGCTGGGAGACGCGACCGGCGCAGATGTGTCCGGAAGGGTCGCTAGCTGGTTCACGGGCGGGGTATCAACCGCAGACCCTAAGTGCCGCCCCCCGCAGTGGCGGGTGCCTGGAGCAGCGCCTAATGGGGCGTGGGTGCGTTGGCGCCTCGGAAGGGCGTAAGGTGACCCGGGCCTGGTCCCTGGGGCTGGCCCACCCGCCTGCATCCTCGCGCCCCGCGCTCTTCAGTGAAGCAGCCGCCCCCACTGCGCCGGGCCCGGGAGCGCGCGGGGGAGGCGTCTGCTCCGGGGATTGAGGCGGTGTCTTCGCTAGCGGGCTGCCGCAGGAACGCGGGCCGCTGCGCCGTCGGCGACATCTTGCTCAGGAGGAAAGCGCGGGGGACAGCAGGCCGCTCCTGGCTGCGGCGCCAAGCGCGCAGAGGACCGGCCGGCGCGGCAGGAAGGAGGTAAGCCCCTCCCCGGAGCTCAGAGGACGCGGAGACCACTCCACTCCCCGTCCCGTCCCCGCGTCCCACACCTCCTGGGCCTCCCTCTCCCCGCGCGTTCCTCGGGCTCCAGCGGCCTTGTGGCCTGGCCCGCAGCTTCTGGCTTCCAAGCTCCGGAGCCGCCATCGAGGTGACCCCCACCCCCGCAGCCCCAGCGCTCGCCCTCCTCCTCGGAGCTGCCCGCCTGGCACACCACTCAGGTTCCCTTGGCCGGGTCGCTTGGGGAGACGCTCGCGTCCAGGTGCCCCAGGGCCCCAGGGCCCCGCCCTTTCCCGAGACTGGCCGCCTGCTCTCTTGCCCCCTCCCGCGCCCCGCTGCTCTGCGCCCCGCCCCTCCGCTCAGCGCCCCGCCCCGCCTCCTCCTCGTGCTCCGCCCCCTCCTGCCCCGTCCGGGCGGGGCTCTGGATTTAAATGTCGCGGCGGGCCCAGCGGCTGGAGGGGCAGGGCGGGCCTCTATGTCGTGTGTCGGTTCCGTAGGCGGCAGCGGCGCGGGGTGGCGGGCACTCGGGGCCGGCGGGCGGCACCATGTCCCCGGGCAGCGGGGTGAAGAGCGAGTACATGAAGCGCTACCAGGAGCCGCGCTGGGACGAGTACGCGGCGTGCTACCGCGAGCTGCTGCACTACCGCCTGGGCCGCCGGCTGCTGGAGCAGGCGCACGCGCCCTGGCTCTGGGACGACTGGGGCCCGGCCGGCAATTCGGACGACTCGGCGTCGTCGGGCGCCGGGAGCCCCACACCCCAGTGTGCCCCGGCCTCGCCGCCACCGCCCGCTGAGGCCGCGGCGCGGGAGGAGCCGGCGGCGGAGGCCGAGAAGGCCGGGGACGCGGAGGCCCGAGACGCGGAGGCCCGAGACGCGGAGGCCCGGGACACGGAGGACACATCTCTGCCAGGTACCGGGCCCGGGAGGGGGGCTGCTCGGAGGACTGGATGCGCTCTTGGCATCCGAACTTCCCCGCTCTGTCCGTTTCTCGCAGCGCTCTGCTTTATTTACTTATTTTCTGGACTGAGAATCCAACCCCCCCCCCCCCCCCCGACAAAATAAGGAAGATGTCAACAAGCCAACGTTACCCCCCCCCCCTTATTTCCCTAATTAGGTGGCTTGAGCCAGCTGCGAACTCAATTGAAGTGCCCTTGGCGTGGTCCGGGTCTTCACGCGAAGGCCGAGGTGGCCTTAGGGAGCCAGTGAACCCCATCTGTTTATTCCTAAGCGCCCATTTTTTAATGAGGAGCCCAGCTTTCATCAGATTCTCAAAGGTGACCCCGAGAGGTTAAGAAGCACCGAGCTAAGCTTTCTGGCTTGTGAATGGGGCTGTTGTTTTCCGTCTGAACTCCTGGACCCAGCGGCGCTGTCCCAGACGAGCATTTTGCATTTGTTTACGCAGACTGTTGCGTAACTCCGGGTGGGTGGGAGCATGTGCCTCGCGAGTGCTTGGTCCCCTCCGCTTCTGGCGCCCCCACTCATCAAAAGGTGCGCATCCTCCGCCTGCCGCGGCGGGCAGGGGGAGCCGTGCCTGGAAAATGGCTCTTGGATGCTGCGCATCTGCGCTTTCAGCCCTGGCCTGACACCTTCTTTCCTGCCCGGAGGGTTGCAGAGTTGGGGGCTCTCAGCACGTGAGGCCGGGTGGCTGCTCGCGGGGGCAGAGGGTCAAGGTGAAAGCCTCAGATACAGTAACCACTAACGCTGGCCAGATGCCACCAGTGGGTCACTCGATTTTCAAGAGGCTCTAGTGAGAAAAAGAACGAAAATTTACTGAGAGCATATTACGCCTCCACGCACTGGTCTTAGAATGTGTATTTTCTCATTCAAGGTTCCAAACAATTCTAAGAGGTAGAACCATGATTTTTATCTCGATTTTATAGATGAAGATGTGAAAGCGCAGGATATACGATAAGCGACTTTTTGTTTATCTACCACAGTATAAGTTGTAATTAGACTCGTCAGACTCCCAGGGAGGCTGTCGAGGGGAGGAAATCAGTGTCGGAGCCAGGCTCCTTTGCTCTGGTTATACTGTCTTCAGCACATGCGGCCCACTTGCCTCGCCTCCCCGTGTTACCTGTGAATCCCCACAGACTCCTGATTATCTATTACAGAAGCCAGATACCTGGCTTCAGTGATCAGTGCTAGAAATTCGGGCGACAGAAGGTGGAGGTGGTAGGGGACACGCCTTCCAGTTTATTCCTGTGGGCACTGATCTCCTGAGCTGTCAGTTATATTCCTGAGCATAAAAACACCATTTTTAGATAGCATTGTAGTTTGGACGGTGCCTGTGTTTTTGCCTGAGTTCATGATGAGTAGGGTCTCCTTAGAGACCAAATTCTGCCAGTGGCTAAGGTCAGTTATTTCTTTTCTGCTAGTGTTTTTCCTCTAAGCACTGGGGACAAGATGGGAAAATTTCCGCTTTCAGGATGGCAACTCGTGGGGTCTTTTGCTCTGCTTCTTCCTGTCTGAGCTTCCCCTGATGCCTGCCTGTGGCGCAATTAAAAATCCTTATTTTTAAGTGGATGGTTTTATATACTAGAGTGATGAACACTCTTGAGTTTTCTATAAAACATAAGCATTTAGTCCTTGTTTTGACCAAAGCCACATATACACATAGAATCATACAGTTCTTTTTTTGAATTTTTATTTTTTGATTTTGTTTTTTTAGAGAGAAGAAGGGAACGGGGGTGGGCGGGGGAGAGAGAGAGAAAAACATCAATTTACTGTTCCACTTAGGCATCCATGTGTTGATTCTTGTCTGGGCAGCCGTGGTGTATCTGGATCATGCTTTAACCCAGCCGTCCCCAACCTTTTTGGCACCAAGGACTGGTTTCGTGGGAGATACCAGTTTTTCTATGGCTGTGGTGGTGGTGGCGGCGAGGGACAGGAGGCGGAGCCTGGTTCCTAACAGGCCGCTGGGACCCCCTGCTCTAACCAACTGAGCTACCTGGCCGGGGCCAAGTCATAAGGTTCTACGTGGCTTATTACAAAGAGAGCAGCTCCGTGCCACACATACATGCCAATAGTTATTCCTTGGGTACCATTCCTACTCCCCTCATGTTCCCTTTGGTGTTTATTTCTCCAAGGTAACATTGCTTTCATTGACATGTCTTGACTTGTTAAAGTTGTGAACTTTATCTGTTGGCGCTCATGCTCAATCTCTCTCTCTGTTTACCTCTGTCCTAACCTGTACACATGGCCCATTCTCACACCCACTAATATGGAGACATCGTGGAATTTGTTAGCTTCACAGTTAGTATCTACAGTATTGTACCTGTGCTCAAGCCTGTCCTACCTGCATTGTTTGCCACAACTCCCTTTTCTCTCTTTCACAATCCAACCTGCACATCAGGTTCACTATCACTCTGGACATCTGAAGACATCTCTCCTGGGGCATCTGACCCACTTCCATCTGGCCTGGTGGCTGCTCTCAGCAGCTGCTGGGTGGTTGAATCTTGGGAGGGCCCTTGGCCACCGCCCTGGGACTCCTTGGCTTCTTTCTTCGGGAGGACTTTCTGCTGTGAGACTTTCACATCACCTTTCTCGGTTTGCCACCTCCTGGTGGAGCTCCTCTTCCTGAGGAAGGGTGTGTGAGAGGTTAATTTTCTGAGACCTTGCCTGTCAAAAGATAGCTTTATTCTACTCTCCCAATTCAGTGGGTTTGTGGCTGGGCAGGGAATTCTGGGTTGGAAGTAATTGTCTCTCAAAATCTGGAGGCTCAAGGGTATGCCTTGTCTCTGCCCCAAGCTGTCATGGGGGCTGCAGGGCTCTAGGGTTGGGGGCTGTGCGTTGGGAGACTCGCATGTGACATCTTCATGTGCCTGGCCCCCCTCATGGCATGCTGGCTGGCCTCCAAGGGCAAGAGTCCCTGAGACAGAATGGGGCAGATGCTGCATTATTGTCCTTTATGACTAGAGATGCACAGAACACCTCTTTGACCCCATTCTGTACCTATAAAAGTCTGCCCAGGTTCAAGAGGAAGAAGCATCAACCCCAATTCTAACAGGGGCATGTTTCTGTCACATTGTCAGAGCATCTGGGCAGAGCGCCGATGGATGCTGGACCTGTGGACAGGGCAGGCCCCTGCACTAGCCTGCTGGGGAACCTGGCGCCTCAGTTTCCAGTTCTTTCTGGAGGTCAGCTTGTGTCCTGTGGGCCCTTCTCCTGCTGGGAGGTAGGATGCATCCTGCTCAGTTCTGTGAGGCCACTCCTACCTCTTCGGCTACTTTCCATCTTCCCACATTTATTGACACTGTTTGTCGGATGTCATTGCCTTCCTTGCTCTTGTGCATTTATACCTGCTTTCCTTCACTTCAGTGGGGTTTTGGGAGGCAGGGACTGACTACATGCACATTTAACCTGAATTCTCCCTTTGCTTTCTTTTCACGTTTTATTTTGCACTTGTTTATCTCCTGACCAGCAGTATCAGAGGTGTATGAATTCTGTTAGCTTTTTGCTGAGCTCACTCTTGGCCGTGTGGGTTTTCTTTATTACGTGTGTTACGTGCCGGCTCCAGGTGGCCCTGTGAATGAGCCGCGTCCACACCACCCTGTCCTCCGTAGCTCTGCTCAGCTGTAGGCTTGTGCCTGTGGCTTTTATTGAGCTAATCAGGCTCATATTTGGGTTTTTTTGTTTATTATATGTTTTCAGTGATTCATGATCTTTCTTTTCTTACTCTAATTTTCTTCAAGCTTATTTTTCTAACTTTTAAAGATGGATGCTCATCATCGATTTTTTTTTTTTTGCTCTTTTTTCATATATACAAGGTGGGAAAAGTGCAGTTATAGTTGTTCATATCGAAAAATAATACAATAGTTAATAAACAATAATACAGGAATCAACTCTTTTTCATACTCACAACTGTAAACCTACTTTTGCCCCATCCTGATTCTTAAGGCCATGAATTTCCCTCTGGTTACTGCTTTAGCTGTATCGTAAAAGTTTTGTGGTATAGTATTATTCCCTTAAGCACATTTTCTAATTTTCATTATGATTTTTAAAATACAGAAAAAAAATAGTCTCACATTTATGTATACTATACAAGTAAGGAAACACACTTATCTTTTAGAAACAGACTAAATACCAAAAACCTACTGCAAACATTATGCTTAATGAGGAAACTTTAGAAACATTTCTAATGAGATCGGGATGGAGAAAGCAATGCCCTCCCTCATCACTACTCTTTACTTTTCAAAAATGGTGGTAAAAGATGCACAGTGCAGTTTACCATTTGGCCATTTTAGAGCACACAGCACTCTGGCATTGAGTGTGCCCACATTTTGGTGCAGCCGTATTATTGGTTTTACACTGAAGTTAGAGAACACGTTCTCTATGATTTCAGTTTTGTAAATGCGCTAAGATTTGCTTTAGGGCCTTGGACATGTCCATTTTTGTAAGTGTTCATCCTTGAAAAGATTGATACACACACATACACACACACACCCATTAGGTCAAAAGTGTTAATTCTGCTGTTCAAATACTTTTAAAAAAATCAGACTGTTCAATAAAACTTTCGGTTCTGATGGACATGCTCTCTCTTCGCACCATCTTACATGGGGGCCCCTACCCATCTGTGGTCCCTGAGCACTTGAACTCCAACTGGTGTAACTGAGAAACTGAATCTTGACCTTTATTTAATTTTAATTTAAACTTGTATTTATCAGGCATATGTGGTTAGTAGCTTTTGTATTGGACAGCACAGTCCTAAGTGAAAACTGAATCTTTTTGTTTGAATGATCTATCCGTTACTGAGAACGGGTGTTTTAATCTTCCACCATAAGGGTGGTGAACACTCTTTTTGTTTGTCTGAAAATGTCTTCATTTTAAACTTCTGTCTTTTGAATAGGATTTTGAAACAGACTTATATACACTCATCTTGTACCAGGCACTATTTCAATAGTTTTATAAATATTAATGTTACAGCAATAAGTTCTGTCTCTTGTCTCTTCCATCTTTTGTCTCCTGCTGATGCAGATATTGTTGAATGTATCTTTTTTCCCTTAAACCCAAAGGGATAAACACAGTTCTGTTATAGTCTATAAATGGTAATTCCAACATCCCAAGCCTTCTGCTCCTCCCAGCCCTTCCTGTTGCCTTCTCTCCTTGTGCACCTGGTCACCCTGCAGTACACTCAGAGGGGTGTTTGAAAAATAATTTGTAGGGATACTCTCAGGCCAATGGTCCCCAGAGAAGACGTTAGTTTCTTGTGTTTGGCGGACACTCTTAGTTTTTAATGGCACCCTTTTCAGTTATCCGTGATGGAAGGGTTGGCCCACTGCTACCAGAACGGGGGTCTCCATTCTGTTCACTTTGCCGCCCGCTGCGATCTGTCCCCCACCCCGCACTCCCCTCTGCCGCCCACGGGACAGCGTGGCTGCCCAGTGCTGAGCCTGCCCGTCAGCCTCGTCCTGCCGGCTTTGCGTCCATGTTCCGCACTGTCAGCTGCTCCCTCTCTGCCGAAACTCCTTCCTCAGCTTCGGCGCTGGGTCGTTTTTCTACGTTCCTAGCTACCCTTTCCCTGTCTCCCGCCTGGGGCCATCTTTTTCCGCCTGCTCGCTGAGCGAACATCGGTGTCCCCGGGGCCTGACTTGCTCTTCTCTCCTCCAAGCCTGCATTTCTGCCGGGGGACTGGATTTGCATCAGGGCCTCAGCTCCCAGCGGCCCGTTCACAACCTTCTCCAGTCCCACCTGCTTCCCTGAGCCCCTGACGAAGGGTCCGGCTGCTGCCTGTGTCGTTGTTCCAAGCGCATCTCACGCGGCGGTGCCAGGCACCGCTTTCGCAACCTTTGGCGAGCCGGCATGACCATCCGCTCCAAACACCTGTGGGGACCGGGGTCTCCCCTTTGCCCCCCAGTGCCCACGTTGTGTCCGCTCTCTGTTCACCTGTGAGCCTAACCCAGTGCTGTGGGCTCTGTGCTTGGAGAGGCCTTGTTGGAAAGCGCCCTTGGTACCGGCTCTCCACTGGTCGGTCAGTGCGTGGTTCACGGGGCCAGGTGAGCCTGAGCACCAGCCAGGTGTGTGGAGCCCTGTCCTGGTCGTTTCCCACCCCTCCGCCCTCCCATCGGTGGGAGGACCCCCGTGGACACTGCCGTTTTTTCCTCACGGGCCCTTCTGCCCCCCGCCCTCCGCCCCTGCAGCTAGAGGCCTCGTTCCTAAAACACAGACAGGACCGTGCCATCCTGCAGCTCAAAATTCTTTAGCAATTCTTCCATTCCGGCATGCAACTAAATCTTCTGGGTTTGAAATAGAAAGCTTTCTCTCCCCCTTGCTCCCTGCTCCCTGCCTTCATCCACAGACTCTCTGCATCTGCCATTTGGAACTAATTCTATTCATTCTTCTCCCCATGCCTTTGGACCAGCCATTCCCTGACCCTGGGATTCCCCTCCCTGTTCTCTTCTGGCTGCCTCCAGCCTGTCCTTTCGACTGATCCGTATTACCTTCTCTGGGCAGGCTTTGCTGGAGGACTTGGGTTAGGTGGGATGCGACCGGAAGAGAAGGCGGGGCAATAACCTCCCAGGTCTCCGCCCCCTTCTCCTTCCCCTGTCCTGGCCCCAATGGGCTCCTTCTCCCGCTTCCCAGGCCCGCAGGAGAGAAGAGGAGACGGCGGGTGCGGACACATCGCTCAGAGAAGCGTTTGAGCCGTGAGTGTGTGATAGGATGGAAGGTTGTCCCCTTGTGTCATCTGCCGACAGCTCAGTGCTGGGTTGGAAGAAGCGGCGCACAGTGGTGCAGAGCATTACACCCCAGCATCGGGTGTGGATTGTCTCTCAAAATCCTTAGTAATAAATGAAGCAATTTGGTAGAGTCAAGGTCATTGCCGATGTCACATCCGTGCCCCTGTGTCGGGGCTGCCAGGGCAGGGCTCGCTGTGCTTTGCAGGGAACGTGGACCTCAGCAAGAAAAGAGTCATGACTGAAAGCAGTGAGGGACGAGAGTCCGCCTTTGAAAAGGGAAAAGAGTTTGGAATAGTGAGCTATGAAATCATCTCTATACCCGAATTCCGGAGCATCAGAAGCGACGGGTACCCTTCAGCCCAGCAGCTTAGGGGAGCAAAATGGAGCCCTCGCGGCATCAGGAGCTTTTATTTGGGTGTGCGTTGAGGCTGACATGAGACAAAGGCTCACAAAGCGTTTACACAAAAGAATATAACCTTTACCAAAAATGACGGGTTTGTACACGATCATGACTGGCAAAATCCTAGGAGGCCATGCAGGGAAATGGCTGTGTCTTGGAGTGCTGAGCCCGGGGCGGGCAGCCCGGTCCCCCGCCCGAGCTTCCCAGCTCTGCTGGCGGAACTGAGGACGCGGGGACCGTGGTCACGTCCGTTGCAAGTGGAGGGCAAGCCCCCCTGCGACACGGGCGCGCGCGCTCTAGCTCTTCACGCGGGCCAGGCAAAGCTGTGCACCAGGTGGGTAACTATGGAAACCACACCCTATTGTGACAGGGGCCTTCCAAATTGAGGTCACCAGCCAGCTCTTGCCAGGAGCATGTAAGAGCCATACGGAGCATGTGCCCTAATTGTGGAACATCAGGCAGTCATGGAATTCCTGGAACTGAGTTGAGTGACTTAAAAACTAACCCTGTGTAGCCGCTGGGTGATTACCCCAAACACAGGTCTTCCCTGAAGTCAGGTGTTCTGACAATGGATTACAATTGCTCCTGGGAGTTTGGAGAAAGCCATTAGGCCACAGCAAAATCTTTTAACATTTAATCTGAGAACATGAGCTTTTGAATAGGCGTGGTTCAGCCTTGCTGTATTTGCTGTTGATTTAGAAATCGGATAGACTGTTGGGAAATTATCATACCGGCTTGTTTCTGCATTTCTGCCTGAAGGGAAACTTGCGAGTTGAACTATGTGAAAATGTTACGGAGTCCAGCATAATGTATTCTTCAACGTGAATATTTAAAGGAATTCTATGTAAACCTGATTTTAAAGCATTTTCATCTTGTTTTGTCTCTCTTTTTTAAAAAAGCATCACCGGTAAAAGACGTAAAAGAAAAACCCGAACAAGAGATCAGAACAAAAGAGACTGACAAATTACCCAGCGGCCCAAAACCTCGACAACAACCCAGTGCCTTGTTTGCTAGAGGAACCAGGAAAGCAGTCAAAAGTCCTCAAAGATCATCAAGTAAAATAAAAGAAAAGAAGCATCCATTTGCTCTTTATGGGTGGGGAGAAAAGCAGACGGATACAGGAAGCCAAAAGACTCACAACGTCTGTGCTTCTGCCCCCGTGCGCGAGGTGTGTGCGCATGCGCCTGCTTCCCTGCTTCTCCTTGGAGGGTGGGTTCGGCCACGCACACTGTGCTCTTGCGCCCTGTGCTCACGGAGATGCTTTAGGGGATGGCCCGGTGGGCCAAGGAAAGCCCAGAACTGGGCTCCTGATTAGCAAACAGGAGGACTCTGGATGTTGGCTACCTGGCGGTCAGGGATTTTTGCCCGGAGCTCATGGGTACCCAAGAGGGTTTACCAACGCTGAGCCTGGTGAAGGGGAGGTTGGAGCCTAGGCTCGCGAGTCCGTGGGGGGCCAGGAGGTGCCGAGGAGGGCCCAACGGGGGCTGGCGTCTGCTTGTCCAGATTTGCTTCGGGCATCTGGAGAGGTTTCCAGTCCTTTGGCGTTGCTAACATGTTTCCCAGGCTCCTTTGTCACTGGCTTCCCTGTTAGGTTGCTACCCCTGCGGCTTTCTCCATCTGCCACAGACTTCCCTTTGCTCCTTGGATTAAATTCACGTGACGGTGTTTCTTGGCCCAGATCCCCTGGGCAATGCCTTTGCTCCTGGGAGTGTGGGCGCACCTCGAACTGAGGCCTGGCCTGCCCCGTCCCACGTCCTGAGAACCTATCAGACGGGAGCGTCCTCACGTGTAGAGCCACAGAACAATTACGTATGTTAGTGGTACTGTTACTACTGCCTGAAGCAAAGAATGAATGAAAAGAAACAAAGAGGAAGTACAGATTGTTTGAATTCTGATTAAATACCATAGTCACATTTTTCCTGAACAGCCTTCTAAATCCGAGGGGCAGATGGTGTTAGTTAGCGTGATATTTGAGACAACACGCTGTGGTTTAACAAAAGACCGGCAATTCCACGGGGTTAAGTTTACCAGGGTTTATCTATAGTGTGAACTGTCTTGCATGATAAAATCCCTTGAGGGTTTTGTTTTTGTTTTTTTTCCACTATTTTGCTGTAAAACATTTAAAGTCCTTTAATGGAATACTTATCCATGCTTGATGCTAAGCCGATTCAATAATTTTCCAGAGCCAATTTCTAGAGAGACATGCAAATCAGTTGCCTACATTTTGTATCTGAAATTTTGTCCAGGGGACACTTCCGGCAGCTTGGTGTCTCTGTCACTGACAGCGGGTGCCCCACAGCCTCCAGGGGGATGGCTCTTCTGGAGAAGCTTTTATACACAGAGCTGAAAACAAGGAGGCCGAGGAGGCTGGGCCTGCCTCTGTCCTGCCTCAGGGGACCTGGGGTAGCATCACCGCAAATATTCTTGCAAATCCATTCGAAGGCCACTCAAGTTATTATACTTTTATGTTTGGACTCTCCTTAGATTCATGAATCAGCATTACGAGCCAAGAACAGGAGACAGGTAGAGAAAAGGAAACTGCTCTCTCAAAGGCAACGCGCTCACTCGGCGGATGTGGAGAACAGCAGGAGGGTGAAGCCTTCCTCCTCGGAGGACCGGTGGGTGACGGAGTACATGAGGTGCTACTCCGCCCGCGCGTGAAGGGAGAAGCCGCCTTGGCTCTGCTCGGAGCGCCCCCTTTGAGCAGTGTAAATAAACAAACAAAACAAAACAAAAACAAACATCAAAAGGAACCAGGTTGAAGAGACCAACGGATTATGCAAGATTCTTCTTAGGGAATTTCCAAAAGAGCGTTCTCTTTTGATGAACCGCAGTCACCTGCCTCAGCAGCAGGGTGGCAGTCGAAGCCATAGACATTTGGTTATTTACGATGACAGTTCCCTAAATCTTTGATATTCTTCTAAGGGTTTTGTTTTAAAGCATCTTAATCTTTTAAGAAATCGACACCGAATGCCTTTAAATGGCTATAGATGCTTAACCTTCAGCAGTTTGTCCATCAGTTTAGGCGGAGCCCGTTTTGTCCTGTTCTGAGTGACTTGCCGGATTCCACAGCTGGTAAGATCATCCCAACTTCAGCCTAAGACTCGTTTTCCTTCTGTGTAGCTTTGTGAAAGAACGTCAAGTCAGAAGGGAGTTTCAGCACTCAAAGTGATCCCCTATGTAGTGAAACTAGAACTTTGGTAGTTTCTGAACAATCAAGCTTAATTGTACTTCAGTTCAGCACTTCGCGTAGGCTGCGATATTTAAGAATTTTCTGGGCTGGGGGAGGCTCCTCTTTTCTCTTTAAATCATCATCTAGATTCTAGGGGCTTATTATTTAGTAGTTTACTAGAGCAAGTGCATTCCAGTAAAAAGGGTCCCGTGCAGTGTGTCCAGAGAAATACTGAAGTTCCTTTTGAATCAAAGGAGGCTGGGCCACTTTTTAATTGTTTTTAGAGCACATAATTGTTTTTAGAATGGGTTGCTTGCAGCTGGCACACGCCCATGTAGACTATTGTCTCTTCTGTTACAGTCAACAAGGATGGTTGGGACTTATCTGAAATTTTATTTAATAAAACTGTGATTGTCTGGCCTGCTCCTTGGGGGATGAGGGACAATTAGTCAGAGGCCCATCAGAGAAGTGGCCCACCTGCTTTCTCTACTTTTTTCTTTCCAGAACTCACTAGCAACAAAGCCTCAATACTGTACATACTGACTTTTGGTGGAACTGCATTCCTAGCTAGTAGGTCTTGTACAGAACTTAGTGTGAGAGGATGTTTGTGTGTAGGTCCAAATGCAAGGATGTGTATGAATAAAGTGCTCCGTCCCTTTAGTAAATAAATTTGCTTTGGGGACTGAGAAGCCATTTTAAGGAATACTGGTTCCCATCCAGTGGAGACGGGACTTTCCAGGACGGACAAGATACTTGGCCAACTCAGCCCCTGGAGATGCGTGAATGAAGATTTGGTGTTGAATGTGAGGTTGAGTGTTTCCTTGATATTTGTACTTTGGGTCATTGAAGTATTATGGTCACATTTTAGAACACAAAGATGTTTTAGTCCACACAAAACCTTCACATAATATCAACTTAGAACTGTATTAAGCTGTGAAAACTCATACTGAAGAATCATGAGCTTAAAAAAAACCTTTTTAAATATTTTGCATCGTTTTGAGGTGAGTTATTTTATAAAGAGAGCTCTCCTAATCATTGAGATGTGTATTTAATAAGAGGAAGTTCTATATGTTGTCCAAAACAACCTTGCTAGTCATTCTGGTGACTTTTGCTATTATTGTTAAAGTCCTTAAACATCGCCAGTTCCTTACAGATCAAATTAATATGGTAAGTGTGTGGTGTAGCTGATTGTGGACGCTGTCCTTTCAAACCACCTCCTGCACGTTGGGGTCTAGCCATTCTACTCAAGCGTTCCCGTTGCACCTGACAGTCTTAGGGGTGGGAGCTCTGGGGGTAGCGCTGTCCCCGCATGGACAGACTGCCTTAGAAATCCAGCTTCTTCTAGGCTTGGAACAAGCCAACCTCTCTCCTTTAGAAAACAGACTCGTATTTAACGAGCTTCCTAGTGAAAACTCCAGGCGGAGATCTGGAAAAACCTAGGAGGCAATATTGGCCGTGTTTCCCTTTTTTAAACAGGGGACAAATGAGCAAGATTTTTTAAAGTACTTTTAATGTGCATGAATGATGAATAAATCATGAATTAATTGTGACTCCCCTTCTTATGTCTTACTTAAGTCATTAGGTTAGGGTTTCTTTTTTTTCTCTGTAGGGGTGCAAGTTAACTTGTGAGCCTATGAAATATTTTAAGTTGTAGCAATTTGAAGGTCTAGAAACTAACGTGGTTGTAATCATGTTTCTAATTCTTGGGACAACTTGCCAGAGAGCAAGATAGTTTAAAATTACCTTTCATGTTGAAGAGTGTGAAACTGCTTGAGAATCCAGTGATATTTAAAATATGGAATAAAATAATTGCTACTCAGACTCTCTTTTTAAAGTTTTGTTTTAAGCTCTTAATTAAAATGATTTCCATAAATGTGTTTCTATGTAACTTTTATGAAGAGAAGTAATAGATTACTGAATAACATTTGCATCTGCTGGACCTAGGGGAATGACAAATAAATAGGAATTAATTCTTTCTTTTGATTTTTTTTTTAAACCTAAAAGGCTGCTCTTACGTAGTTGGTACCTCTGGTTATATGTATATCAACCCTCTCCATAAAATTTCTAAGTACATATAAACATTTTTTAAGTTTACTAAAGATATAATAAGATATAGTTTATCTTAATTGCTCATCTTGTAGGAGGCATTTATTTATGCCACTTCATATGTAACAGTTTTATCATGTTTATGCTAGGAAACTCAGCTAATTAAATTGCATAGAACCGCCACCGAGTTATTGGAAATCATAACATCCAAAACAGAACATTGCACAATTTGCAGATTTAAAAAACCTTTAGCATATTCCTCTCCTCTTATACATTGATAATGTTGTCCTGGGTATAAACTTCAAACATGGGATGTTACAGTACTTGATATTTAGAATGTTTGGAAGTATTATTGGCAAAAAGGGAATGAGGTGAAGTGTATCTTAGAAATAAAAATTTTTCTTGTTGGCTGCTTTGGTAAAAAATTGTTGAGTGGATAATATGACACTCCACTGGATTAGATTAAAAATGGTGCTAATATTTATAAAGCCTGATGCTGTGTTGGTTTGGTATCAAACTGCTAATGCCTGACTCATACACTCCGGACTGTAGTGTTGCGATCTGTTAAATCATTTAAAAGTGGTCTGAAAAATGTTACCTGGTCATTTCCAAATGTTTGCATTTGAAATGGATTTTTGCACAATAGTTGAAATAGAGAGTTATTCACTGTAAGTGTTTGCTTAATACCAAATTTGGTGCAAGGAGCTCTGTCTAGATTTTCAGCCCAGACTTGGTCTTTTCAAGCTTGCTGGTATGAGATGGGAAACATTCCCTCCTTTGATACTTCCATTCATTCGGGATGCCTGAATGAAGATATTAGAAGCTTCTTTTTGACCTAAAAAGAAATTAGCCCCCCCCCCCCCCCGCCCCATGTCGTAAGTTTGTTTTGAGTACTGCACTCACTTTAACATTCCAAAGACACAAAGGGCGGGGTCCTTAGAATCACAAAGCTCAATGATGGGGATTTTAGGTTGTATTTTATAATAACTGTGTGTTGCTTTTTGCTTATATTTAATGTTGCCATTACTTGGAAAAATGTGAATAATAAAGTTAGTTGATATTACAGGCTGGAACTTTTGTTTTATGGGGATTCTGATGAGTACACCAGCAGTTGAAAAAACGACATGATCGCATCGACTCCTAAATGGTTTTTTCATGAGAGACATGTTTAACAAGATATGTTAAGTACATCTTGGAAAAGATTGTGTGTGTGCGTGTATGTATGTATATGTATGTATGTATATATACGTTCCCCATTGTTTATTTCACACCTTCCCCTGTTTTTGAAAATTACAGAAGTAGTAGTGTATGGTTAAAATAATTTAAAAAGAAGCATGGAGTAAAAAATGAATATACCTTTCCACAGCACCTCTCACCAAAATTCCGTGCCCCTTCCTGGAGGAAACCGGAGCTAAGTGTGGCGGGTAAACTTGCAGACCTTTTTCCTAAGCACTTATCTATGGAGGTACATACAAGCACTTTTGTTTTTTGGCAGAAGTGTGGGTTAATGCTATACGCATTCTATAGTATTTTCTCACTTATCTTCGGGAAGGTTTGGGGTCCAGGGAAGATGGAGTTAACACCCCATTCCTTCCCCGGGCAGGATGTGCAGCCTATGTGAGGACTGGGAGCAGCAAACAGCAGCGTGCAGACTGGGATGGGGGGAGCTTCGGAATCCTAAGTACAGCTGGAGGGGTGAGCGCACCTTTTAAAAGAGTTCCTTGGGATTTCCAAGCTGGAACATAAGCCCTGACACAGAAGTGAGCTCAGGATGGCAGGGTCCTGGCAAAGTCTGGCTTGAGGGACAGAGAAGGAACTGATAACAGAGAGACAAATGGGGTGCATGCCCCTTTTCTCTTTGGTTTTCCTCCTCTTTTTTTTTTTTTTTTTTTTTTGTTGGAACCCCTGGGTCATCCCACGGCTGCCAATGGGAGCCTGCGTCTGAGGGAGGAACGTCTTTCTTCCCCCAAGAGGGCGAGGCTGAGTCATGTGCTTTTTTTCTCCCTCTGAAAGACATGGCTCAATGACAGAAGGGGACATTTTTGGCCTGGAAAACCAAAAATGAGGAGTCCCAAGGAACCAGCAAGGACAGGAGAGAGAGCAGAGGGGAAAGAGATCAGGGAAATAAATCCACAAAGTTCTGAACTCATGTCCCCCTTGCCTGGCTCACCGGTGCACACTCTTCACCTGTGGGGCTGATCTGACTTAGCAGCCTGGACACATGAGGCCTGAGCTGACATCTCAGACTGACCGTGGGACAGACCCAACAGCACCGCGAAAGCCGAGCCGACATCAGAACCAACACTCACAGAACATGCAGCCTGAACCTAACCAGGCTGATGACTTGCTAAAACAAAATACCGGCATTCGCCCTGGGATTTGCTTGGATCTCTTCATGCCACATTCAAAATGCCTAGGATACTATCCCCAATTACTCAGCACACGAGGAACCATGAAAACTCTCACGGAAAAAGACCATAGGTGCCATTACAGACTTTGAGGAGGTTATTCTTAAGTTCCTGTCAGCAATCACACAAACACTCTCAGAATAAGTAATAAAATAGAAATCATCAGTAAAACAATAGAACCAAATGAAAATATTACAACGGAAAATACTATAACAAGAAAAACCTCACGGGATAGACCCAATGAAAGGATAGAGAGGATAAAAGAAAGATACAAATCAATACCAATTATCCGATCTGAACAGAGAGAAAAAAGACTGAGTTTCAGTGTCTTGTTATAGGATAAGGCGGAGAGTGTAGCGCTTTAAAAAACATCTACAGAAATGGCTGAAAATCTCCCAAGGAAGCTGAGTGAACCCAAAGAAATCCCAGCCCAGAAACATCATAAACTGTGGAAAACTTAAAGGACATCTTGAAAACAGCTAGAGAAAAGTGAAAGATTACCTACAGGGAAACGACACTTCAAATGACAGTGAGTTTTTCCATCCGCGGAGCTGGGGAGGCCGGGCGACGTGGCACAGTTCAAGTGCCGCAAGCGAACTGTTAATTCCGGATTCTGTGTCCACAACATGCCCCTCGGGAATGAAGGTGAAATAAAGCCTTCTCAGCTGAAGAAAAAACTAAGAGAATTGACCGCCTGCAGACCTGCTTTAATAGGACAGGTAAAAGATGTTCCTCAGAAGAGAAATAATAGCAAAAGGGAATCTGGAGCCCTGGGAATGAAGGAGGAGCAAGAAACAGGAATAGGTTTTGGTCATTCTCCATTCCTGAAATGGCTGCAGAGCCACAAAGATGAAAGACCTAAGAAGCCCTTCCTGCCACCCCTGAGTTTATGCTAACGAGGTGGCCCTTTGGAAAGCACCTATGATGGGGGCTGGATCGCAGGGGAACTTTCGCTCCTGCCCTCCGACCTCCGGGGAGAGGAACGGGGCTGGACATTTTGTTCAATAGCCAACGTCCAATGATGTAATCAACCATGCCTCTGTAAGAAAGTCTCCATTAAAACCCAAAAGGGTGGGGTCCGGAGGGCTTCTGGGTTGGTGGCTGTGCAGAGATTCGGGGAGCAGGGGAGCTCTGCGCCCCTCCCCCCACACCTCACCCTGCCCATTGGCCCATCCTGGGTTCCAACTTCTAATAATAAACCAGGGATCCCCTAAGGCAACTGTCTTCCTGAGTTCCGAGAGGTGCTCCAGTAAACTGGCAGGACCCAGGGAGGAGGCCGGGGGAGCCTCCAATTTATAGCCTGTATAGCCAGAGGCACAGGTGACAACCTGGACACGCGGTCAGCACCGGGAGGGGGGCAGAGGAGCAGCTGCCGGACGAGCCCTTTGCCTGTGGGGTCTGCGGCTGTCTCCGGTGCACAGCGACGGAGCTGGGAGCTGTGTAGGGCGCCCAGCGGCTGGTGCACAATTGCATGAGGCGAGGAGAACCCCGCGTGTCTGGTGACAGAAGTCAAGGCTGCTTTAGCTGTACCCACGTATTTTCAGGTCTTATTTTCATTATTCTTCCATTGAAAATATTCTCATTTCTCTTTGACTGGGTGGATTATTTGACTGGTGTGTGTTTGAGATTTTCCTGTTTCCTTTCGCCAATTTCTAGTCTAATTCCATTATAGGCAGAAAACTGTATGATTTATTTTATATTTGTAAATGTTTTTTTATATACCAGGATATGGTCTGTCTTGATGAATGTTCATATGCACTTGAGAAACATGTGCAGTGGTGTTGCTGGGAGTGTTCTATAAACGTCAGTTTATACGACTAATGCTGTTTGGCTCTTCGATATCTTTAATGATTTCCTGTCTACTAGTTCTCTTACTGATAGGAGTGTTGAAGTCTCTAACTACCTTTGTAAATTTGCCTAGTTCTCATTTCAGTTCTGTCCGATTTCCCTCCGTGTATTTTGCCTCAGGACAGTCTTGCTGTGGGTTTAGCCTTTTCCGGAAAATCGGGTGAGCCCCCCGCCCAGCCGCTCTGTCCTCCGCCCTGCGCTGCCTTCCCGGGGCATCAGAAATCCGTGTTCCTCTTCTGTCGCTTTGCAGGGATGATGCTCGCTACTCTTACAGAAGTCCGCCAGGGGCTGGGAATGCTCGCCGCGTTCATGAGGATACTGGCACAGAAGCTCCTGTAGTTTGAAGCTCAGTTGTGAGGCTGAAAGGAAAAACTTGTAGCTGCAGAGACCTGGGCAGGTTACCAGTGCTGATGCGGGTTTCTGGTGGGGGGTGGGGCCGGGGGAGGAGTGGACAGGCACGCAGGTGGCTGGCACCTGCCGCGGGGAGCGTCCACGGTGGAACCTGCAGGGCCTCCGCGGCAGGGCTGTGCTGGCCACTGATTTCTTCAGGGGTAAAAACTGCAGGGGTCCTCTGCAGAGCAGGCCACCGGCAACCCCAGTCGCTCCCAGTGCGTGGCTCCCGCGGTAGCCTCTCCCGGCTTTGTTCCTGGCCCTCTCTGTGGCCTCTGCTTGGCTGTTCTGAGGCTGGGGTGAGACAGAGCGGGTCCCTGCGGTGCCCTGAAAGGCTGGGGAAGCGGGTCACCCACCCCCTCCCTTTTCCAGCGAGCAGGGCTTTCTAGCTGGGGCGCTCCCTTCCTCCCGGGGGCCGAGCAGTGCGCACTTGGGGCGGTGGGGGTGACGATGAGGCTGGTCTTCCTTCCCTTTTTGTGTGATAGTTCTCAGGCTTTTTGCTCTGCGGTGCCGCTGAAGTGTAAGGGAACTCCTGAGCCCTCCCAGGCCTGTTTGTTCCTGGGCAGCCCTCATTGTTGGCCTTTGTGGGAGAGATGGAGGCTGGGGGTCTCCTGTTTCACCATCACGGGAAGGTCGCCTGGATGTTAGGAAACCCCTCCCAGAAAGGAAGGGATTTAGTACGATCACATTGTCGCCCTTGGTGGATTTTGCAAAAAGGGATTCTTGGAGCGGATTGGCTGGATGTGCAAGTACCTTAGAAAGACTTGAGGATACAGCTGGTTCGGGTCATCTGTCCTTCTCACAGGCCCTGGGGTCCCTCCTAGGTGCCAGGCATCGGGCACACAGAAGGCAGCCCTGTCCCAGTGGAGAAGACAAATAAGGACAATGTGTGGATCAGTGTGATCAAGACCCAAAGAAAGGCTAGGACAGCAATTGACGAGTGTAATTGTGGAGGTGGGTGGAGTTGCTCCCAGCAAAGTGTTACACTGCCCCCTACAGGGCTGCTGGCCCCCAGCAGGTGCATCACAAGAGAGAGGACGACGCAGGTCCCTGCCGAGGCGCAGGGGTGTCGGGAAAGCGAGGGGCAGTCAGAGCGGTGTGGAGCACCGTTTTCCCCCGAGATGGGCCTAGTGCAAGGGCATGCAATGAATTTTTGGCCACAGAAGCCAAAATGACAACCTTTCTTGAAAAGGGAATGATATGGTAGACTTACCTGGATTAATCACATTACAAAATTTCCTTGTCAACGTAAAATGACTTACGGGCCCTTCACCCAATATAAAGAAATTAGTATTTTGCTCTCATACATAGTTAATAGGTCCTTCCATATTTAGTGAACATAATTATCTCCGTGGTATTTGGAGATGTAAAATTTAGCAAGTTTCTTTCTTTTTATGATTTCGTTTATTTTTAGGGAGAGGAGAAAGAGGGAGAGAAGCATCAATTGGTTGCCTCACATGCCCCCAGCTGGGGACCTGGACTGCAACCCAGGCATGTGCCCTGACTGGGAATCGAACCTGTGACCTTTCAGTCCGCAGGCTGGCACTCAGTTCACTGAGCCTTGCCAGCCAGGGCACAAGTTATTTTCTTAATGCTAGTTTCCTTTAACAGAAAATTTACACGACACCTGGGAGTTAGAGGAAGGAGCCATCAGAGAACAGGCGCGTCTGTTTGCTGTCACTCCCCGCAGAAGGGCAAGCGCAACGTCCTCGCGCGTGAGGGAGCTCGCTGAGGTTATAGGGGGGAGTAGGTATGGTGGGGCCCGACCCACCTGCTGCTTGCGGAGCCCAAGTTCCGGAGGCGTGTGTGTCACAGGTAAATACCTCCACCCTGGGCTGCAGGCCCGCCGAGATGAAGGAATTACCTCCCCCTCGTGGTGTTCCACTGGCAGGGGAGACGGGGTGATGCCGAGAACACTTCACAGCCAGCCCGGCGAGGGCACCGACGCTCGGAAGCTGCTCCAGCCCTGGGTAGCAGGCTGGCTGCCCTGGTGTCCCCGCTGAAGATGAGCTGTCACCTGTGCTAGGGGACAGCACTCTGGCACCACCAGCCACATGCTGGCAAATCACCTCTAATAATACAGTATAAAAGATGTGCATTTTGCTTTCAGCGTATGCCGGAAAATCAGCTTCACATAATTGCAAGAAAAGGACACCACCATTCTTGGCTTTGCAACTGTATCTTTGAAGTTCCCAATGGTATGGTGGCTATATAAAATGATAAAAAAAAATATTGTCAGAGCTGCGTACTGAACTAGATGCCTGGACGTTTCCAAATACTATGGCATAAAAAACTGGGGCAGAGGTAGACGAGGCAAGACTGGTATAACGCGTACAGGTGCGGGAGCTGGCCGATACAGCGGCTCATTGTTACTGCCTTCATACTTGCGGATGTCTGAAAAAACTGGAGAGACTCAGTTGCAAAGATTCCCTGGTCACATAATTTTGTAGCAGTAAGCAGTATTTTTTCGTTTTTTTTTTATTTTTGAGAGGATGTTTATTAAGGCTGGGGACAGTGGAACAAGGAAGGGCTCAGGAGGGAAGCAGCAGGAGACGGGGCAGGGCTGTGTCGGCTCTCGGGGAAGCCGGGGCGAAGGGGGCCTTGGAGACAGGTTCGCGGGTTCCCCGAGGCGCTGCCGCTGCCCATTGCTGCCTGGGTTGTAAGTGTCATGGGGGCCCTGAGAATTTAGGAAGAACTGAGGGGAGGGAGAGGTGTGGGCGTGCTCCTGGGAGGGGGAGTGTGCTGGTATTTTCTAACCTTAAACAGTGGTGGCCAGCAGCTCCCCTCCTACTTGTCTTCCTGAAACTGGTTTCTGTGAGCTGCTCCAGCACATTAATGGAACCCAAGGAAGGGGGTTGTGGGAACCTCAGATTTATGGCCAGTTGGTCAGAAGCACAGGTAACAACCTGGACTTGTGACTGGCGTCTGAAATGTGTGTCTGTGAGGCAGACTAAGCCTCCCGCCTGTGGGATCTGTACTGCCCTCAGGTGGACAGTGTTGGAACTGAAGAATTGGAGGCCACCCAGCTGGCGTCTGAGAACCAGGGACTTACTTGGTCGGTGGTGTGAGAAAACACGGCGCTGACCTGTAATACAAAATTACCCCCCTTCCTCCTTCTTCCAGAAGGCTTTCATTAAGAACCACCGTGGTTTGGTTCTCCAGCAACTTTTATTGGTCAAAAGATGTGGAATTTATATGCAGTACCTATGGTTTAAGTAACAGGTTCATTTATAAATCAACGTAACATTGATCTTATTTAAAAAATTTCTGCTTTTGAGTGAACTGATGTGGTGGAATGGACATGCTCTTAGCCCATGCAGGACGCTGTTCCAAAAAGAGCAGCTTGCAAAACTATCAGAAATGAGACACTGAATGAAACATTCTTCCAGCGAGGTTCAAGAAGTGGTTCCGTCTGAGAATTTGCTTCATACTCTAACTTTTCAAAGTAAAATACTCAAGGCTTTTTAAAAGCAGAATTAAAATATCTAGAACAGATACATACTGATATTTTTATCCAAGTCCCTTCCCAGCGTTGGTAGTGCCGCTGTGCTCTGTTGATGGGAAAGTGAAACTTACCAATCTGCCTGTAGCTAAAAAGTCAAGTGGAAGAACACACGTAGGGTGAAGAATACTTTCTAACTTTTCAGCCTTAAATAACGCTGTATTTCAACTTTAAAGAAAAGTGGTATTATATATTTTTTTGCATTGACATTTTAAAATATTAGAACAAGTCTTTGCAGTACATATTATACTTCAATAAACCTCACATGAATTAAAAACATGTTGACTCAATAACTGTACTAAGGCATTTACGTATTCAGCAAAAGCTATACAGGAATTTCTTAGTGGCATCCCTTTAATATTAGCTTGATTTAGTGGGTTTCCCAAAAAGGAACACAAAACAATAAAAGGCTTAAAAAAGAGGCAGTGATGCTATAATACCAAATCCCAGGAAAAGCACAGTAGCAAACCAAGTGTTTTCTCGCAGGGAGACCAGACAGATCAGCAACCCGGATCAGATGCGCAGCCCAGGACCCAGGATCCATCACGCGCACCGACAGGGAAGAGCAGAATCAGCTGCCGGGTAAGTGTGGCGCAAGGTACCGAATCCTCAGTGCGGATCACAGTGCCTGGAACAGCAGGTGTCAGGCTGCACTTCCTGAACTGATCTCGACGAAGACGCGTGGACATCAACAGAGTGCTGGACAGTGTCGGGTTCATAGAGAAACTCCGCTTTTGACTTTATTTTGGTATGTGAGTAACGACCGATCTAGTTTTCCAGCGTGGGTCACGTAAACACCTGGCGGACCGTGAGACACGGAACTGAATGAGCGCCGCGGTGGCCGTCGACGCCGGAGTTTGACCACCAGGCCCTAGACACGGCCGGCCAGCTGTGCCGCGGGACCGACACGCTGGCCAAAGCACGCCTCACGGGCAACCGGTCAGCTCAGATGATTAAGAAAAATAAAATATTCGACTGCATTTAGTGTAACCTTCTGTGATATCATACATCAGACACCATGCTGTAGAGATGTAGTGGGCTAGAGTATATACAGTATGTAGCCAGCGTTTAAACTGAAGGTGAAAGGAAAACTATGGAACGGGACATTTTTACACACATGTGCACATCTAATGGTATCGTCCATTGAATTCGTTTTACCACGTGGTTAGCTGTGCCACATTTACTAGCTTACGTAACACCCAAATCATCCCCCCCCCGGACAAAGATCTACTTCTGCATCAAGTAGAAAAAGGTGATGGTAAAAAAGTCTTCTTCAAGCTCCAGCAATTGGGTCCCAAATACCACTGTGTGAACACCTAAAAAAACAGTGAGAGGAATTTAGAAATATGCTTATCTGTAAATGTACAAACAAACATAGCGTCAAATTCCAAAGGGAGCAGCGAATACTTCCAACTTACAGTTAAACTTTATGTCTAATAGATAATGACAGTTTGCCAGTTTTATAAACAAGCCTCCTATTTTAGCAGCAGGAACGTTCATTTAGGCTCCGAGGAGCCCAAGGAGGCGCCTCCCGGACCTGAGGGCTGAGGGTCTCTGTCTCAGTCGGCCCCGTGCGTGAGGGGCCCTCCCGTCTTCCTGAGCGAGGGCACAAGGGCTTCCAGGAGCTTTCAAGCAGAACATCTTTTTTTTTTTTTTTTAAATGGTAAAGTTGCGTTTAATCTATCCTTCTGCTATTTGTTTTCTATCTGTCCCATCTGTTCTTTACTCTCCTTTTTTCTGCCTCTTTTGGATTATTTACATCATGTATTTTATTCCATTTTAATTCCTATTTTGGCTTATGAGCCACAACTTTTTATTGTCATTTTAGTGGTTGTTTTAGGATTTTAAAAAGCTTATCAAGACTTTATTTTTTTTAGAGCAGTTATAGGTTCAGAGCAAAACTGAGGGAAAAGCACAGAGATTTCTCATATACCCCCTTGCATAGCCCCCCATTATCAACATTGCCACCAGAGTGGGGCATTGTTACAACTGAGGAACCTAAACTGACACATCATCACCCAAAGCCCATTGTTTGCATCACTCTTGGCGTTGCACCTTCCATGGGTTTGAACAAGTGTGCGCTGTTAGCATCATCATGATATCATACAGAGTATTTCGCTGCCCTATAAACCTGTGTTCTGCCTCTTCATCCCTCTCTCCCCCAAACCCCTGGCAACCACTGATCTTTTTAGTTTTTGCAGAGTTTTGCCTTTCACCAAATGCCACATTGTTGGAATCATGTAACATGTAGCTTTTTCACATTGGCTTCTTTTGCTTAGTGATACGCATTGAAGGTTCCTTCATGTCTTTTCATGGCTCCATAGCCCACTCCTTTTTAGCAATGAACACTATTCTACGGTCTGGATGTGCCACAGTTTCTTTATCCATTCTCCTACTGGAGAGACATCTTTGTTGCTTCCAAGTTTTGGTTATAGCAGGAAAAAGGTGCTATAGGCACCCATGTGCAGGCTTTTATGCAGACATAAGTGTTCAACTCCTTTGGGCAAATATCGAGGAGGAAGACTGTTCCATCACACAGTTAGAGTATACTTAGTTTTGTAAGAAACCGCTGACTGTCTTCCGCAGTGGCTGCACCATTTTGCAATCCCACCAGCAATGAGAGTTCCTGTTGCTCCACATTCCTACCAGCATTCGGTGTTGTCAGTGTCTTGGATTTTAGCCATTCTAATAGGTTTGTAGCAGTGATATCTTGTGTTAGTTTGCATTTCCCTTATGACATAAGATGAGAAACATTTTTTCATAGATGTACTGTCATCTCTCTATCTCCTTTGGTGAGGTGTCTATTAATGTCTTTGGCCCATTTTAAAATTGGGTTGCTTGTTCCCTTTGCTGGGTAGCTCAGTTGGTTGGAGCATTGTCCAGTACACCAAAAAGGTTGTGGGTTCAACCCTCCCATTGGGGAACATATGGGAAGCAAATGATTGATGTTTCTATTTCATATCAATGTTTCTCTCTCGAATCAATAAAAACATAACCTTGGGTTGCTTGTTTTCTTATTGTTGAGTTTGAAGAGTTCTTGGTATATTTTGGGTAACAGTCTTTTATTAGATGTGTCTCTTGGAAGGATTTTCTCCCAGCCTGTGGCCTGTCATCTCATTCTCTTGACATATTTTTCACAGAGCAGAAGTTTTTAATTGTAACGGAGTCCAGTTTATCAATTGGTGTTGTATCTAAAAAGTCATCATCATACCCAAGGTCATCTATTTTTTTCTCCTCTTTTATCCTGTAGGAGTTTTATTGTTTTACATTTTACTTTTAGGTCTATGATGCATTTTGAGTGAATTTTTGTGAAGGGTGTGTGTCTAGATTCTTTTTTTTTTGGGGGGGGGTATGTGAATGGCCAGTTGTTCCAGCACTATTTGCTGGAAAGACTGTCTTTGTTCCATTGAATTGCCTTTGCTCCTTTATCAAAGATCAGTTGCTATATTTTTGTGGGTCTGTTTCTGGACTCTCTATACTGTTCTACTGATCCATTTGTCTGTTCCTTCACCAATACCACACTGTCCTGATTTACTGTTACACTGTCTTGAAGCTGGGTAATGACATCCTGCTAACTTTGCTCTTCTCCTCCAACACTGTGTTGGTCATTCTGGCTTTTTTGCCGCTCCATATAAATGTTAGAATCAGTTTGATTTTCCTTATATAGATCTCGTACATATTTTCTTAGGTATACCTAACTGACATCATTTTTGGATGCTAACATAAATGGTACTGTGTGTGTTTTTAAAGATTTTACTTATTTATTTTTAGAGAGGGGGGAAAGGAGGGAGAAAAAGAGGGAGGGAAACATCAGTGTGCGAGAGAAACATTGATAGGTTGCTTCTCGGACGCCCCCAACTGGGGACCTGGCCCACAACCCAGGCATGTGCCCTGACTGGGAATCAAACCAGTGACCTTTTGGTTTGCAGCCTGGCACTCAATCCACTGAGCCACACCAGCCAGGGCCATGCTTTTAATTTCAAGTTGCACTTGTTCATTGCTGGCATATGGAAAAGTGATTGACTTTTGTATATTAATCTTGTATCCTGCAACTGTACTGTATTATCACTTACATAGGAGTTCATGGATTCTTTCGGATTTTCTCCATAGATAATTACATTATCTGTGAACAAAGATAAGTTAATTTCTTCCTTCCCAATTTGTATACCTTATATTCCCTTTTCTTGTCTTACTGCAGTAGCTAGAAGACTCAGTATGAAGTTGAAAAGGAGTGGGGGGAGGGGACATCCTTGCCTTGTACCTGACACGAGTAGGGAAGCCTCAAGTGTCTCACTATTGAGCACGATGTTAGTAGTAGGTTTCCTTGCAGATCTTAATCAAGTTGAGGAAGTTCCCCTCTATTCTTAGTTTACCAAGCGTTTTCATCATGAAGAGGTGTTGGGCTTTGTCAAATGATTTTTCTGCATCTCTAGATATGATTTGATTTTTCTTCTGCAGCCTGTTGGTGTGATGGATTACATTAATGAATTCTGGAGGGCTGAACCAGTCTTGCATACCTGGGATAAATCCCACTTAGAAGTGGTGTGTAATTCTTTTTGTACATAGTTGGATTTGACTTGCTAATATTATTTTTTGAGGATTTATTCACCTATGTTCATAAGAGATATTGGCCTGTGATTTTCTTGTAATGTCTTTGTCTGATTTTGGAATTAGGGTAATTGCTTGCTTCACAGAATAAGAAAGTATTTCATCTGTTTCCATCCTATGGAAGAGATTGTAGAAAATCAGCATAATTTCTTCCTTAAATGTTTGGTAGAATTCACCAGTGAACTCATTGAGCCTAGTGCTTTCTGTTTTGGACAGTTATTAATTATTGGCTCAATTTCTTCAATAGATATACGTCTATTCAAATTGTCTATTTCTTCTTTGTGTGAGTTTTGACAAATTGTGTCTTTCAAGGAATAGGTCTATTTCAGCTGGGTTATCAAATTTGTTGGCTGAGAGTTGTTCACAGTGCTCCTTTATTATCCTTTTAATGCCCACAGGAGCCGCGTAGTGATGTTCCCTCTTTTGCTTTTGATATTAGTCATTTGCATTCTTCTTTTTCTTAGACCGATTAGAGACCTATTGATTTTATTAATCTTTTCAAGAAACACCTTTGGTTTTGTTGGTTTTTCTTTACTGACTTCTTAGTTTTAATTTCTGCTCTGATTGTTATTATTTTATTCCTTCTGCCTACTTTGGATTTAATTTAACCTTTTTTCTTAGTTTTCTATAGAGTGTGCAAATAGGCGAGTGTATCTAGATCTTTCTTCTTTCCCAACATATGCATCCAATGCTATAAACTTCCCTCCAAACACTGCGTTTGCTGCACACCTCCCCCCAACTTGGTGTTATGTTTTGATTTTCATTTAGTTTAATATATTTTTAAATTTCTCTTGAGATTTCTGCTTTAACCCATAAGTCATTTAGAAGTATGTTGTTTGAGCTCCATGTATTGTGGATTTCCCAGTTATTGTTCTGTTAGTGATTTTTAGTTTAATTCCATTGTGGTCTGAGAACAGACACGGTATGATTTTTGTCCTTTGAAATGTGTCAGGATGTGTTTTAGTGCTGAGAATTTGGTCTCTCTTGCTGAGTGTTCCATGTTAGCTTGAGACGAATGGCTATTCCACTGGAAAACATCTAACATTTAATTATACAGTCACCTCTCCCTTCCGTAATGTAGCGGCAGAAAGCAGTTAACAGTCTCTGGGTGAAGCGCGTGGGGAACCGCAGGGAGTGAAGAGGGGCGAGGCGGAGGGGCCTGCAGAGGCGCGGCCACGTGCGCACCTACCTGTGCCTCCCACGCCGCTCTAACAGCCGCACTCCTGAGCGCTCGGGGCCTGTGCGCGGCGCGGCGACCGCAGCTGCCGCAGGGCCGCGTCTCCGTACTGAATGCCCGAGCCCATTCTCTCTGGGTCCAGCTCGCCTGCGGAACAAGCAAGTCTTTTCAAAAAGGCTTTATGTTTCTGTGATCCCCAAAATATAACAAGTAAACAAAAAAGTGCAGAACACTGTACATACACCGTTTTTAATAAAGAGGAAAAAAATATATATATGTTGGCTTGCTTGGGCATCAAACAGCTTTGAAAGGTACATAAAGAGCCGATAATCATGGTTGACTTCAAGGAGTTCTGGGTGGCCAGGGGCGGGGCGGGGGGCACGGCAATGCTGTTTTTGCAGTCTGGAATTATGGGAATATATGATGTATGCAAAGGTAAATTAATGCAAAATTAAACTACAGAGGTATCACTTTTCACTTACCAGACAGGTGAAATTACACCCAGGCACGATAGACACCCTGTGGGCAGGGCTCGAGGGCAATGAGCTCTTTCATTCATTACCAGAGGGGCGGTGAGTCGCGACAACACTGACAAGTGCGCCTGGGCAGCCTTTACTTACTTTCCAAACGCTTCTATTCTGGGACCGAGCAATTCCACTCCTGGGAATTTGGTCTACACACATGGTCACACGCGTGAAATGATTTATGAAAGCTTACTTACTGTAGCATTATTTGTGAGAGCAAAATTCTGGGAACAACCCAAATATTCAAACTAGACTGGTTCACTACATTAGGTTTACCTGACTCAATTTTGTTGAGTATTTTTCTTGCACACTGTACAAAGGCCTCCTCTACGTTCTCCCCCGTCAGCGCGCTCGTTTCCAGAAACATCAGCTCTGAAATTGACATCAGACAAAATACAAAGCCCTATTTAGAAGACAATCATAACTATTCAAGTACAAACTGGTTGTTTTATTCTCCTAGAGAAGCAGGTGAAATGTCATTTATTACTTAAAACCATATACTTTTGCAAATATAAAATCAATACATACATACATACGTATACATATTTATTTTTATCCTCAACCAGGGACATTTTTCCATTGCTTTTAGCGAGAGAGGAAAGGAGAGAGACATCGATGCCAGAGAGAAGGGTCAGTTGGCTGCCTCCCATTCGAGCCCGGACTGGGGAATCAAACCCACAACCTTCCAGTTACAGGACAACGTTCCAACTGACTGAGCCACACGAGCCGAGGCTGTCAGTATGCATTTTTAAATGTTAGCAGAAGCCTGACCTTTTCTGAAAAGGGCTAGTATCTTGCACCAGCACTCAAATCTGTGGAAGAGATGGAGGGAGCGCCAGTTCTCGGTGAGGATGAGGCCGGCTGAAATGGCCCGGCGCTCTCTCCGGGACGAAGTAACGACTCCCTTCTCCCATAGCTGTGTGTCACCCCAAATATAATGTGCAAGCACTTACATTGGGGGGACTACACTGCAGTTTGTCATTCGGGCCATGAAGGGGTCCTGTAAGAATGAACACCCTTATCCCCCAGAGCAGCTGCAGGCCGGTAGGGCCGGCTGGAGCGCCGGTCTCGGCCCGGTTCCCTCACCGGTAAACGTGCGGCGCCCGCACGCGACACCGGAGCCCCTGCTGAGCTCCAGCGTTCTCAGCTTCCGTGTTTCTAAACAGCTTCTTTACACACTCGCGATGGCTCATGTTTTTCTCTCATGTTTGTTTTCTTAGCAGAAAACCAGTCAGTGTGTCAGAATATAATTTGGGAGCCCTAGAGTGGAACTGAAAAGAGGTATCAGGATATTTTAGCTCTTGGTTCGTTCTAAAAATTAAAGCTCTTTAAAATATCTGAATTCCTATCATTCTGTTACCTAGAAGCAACCGCTCATTTTATGTGCAAATCTCATGTATTCTACATGGAAATTCAGAGGTGTCTCAAAGGCATCTCTAACCAAATGACTTCAATTTAATGTGACCAAGAGAAAGCCACTATGCCCAACATTTCACCATCTTACCTTCAAACTACATTAAAAAGATAATAAAAAGATAACATCATCTGATGAGAGCCTTTAAGAATTTTGTTATCAATTTCACTTTAAACCAAGACCCGTAACATTCAAAGGTCCCAGACTGAAAAGTCATTACAGAATATTAATACGTTTGCTTTTATCATTATAGTAACTTACACTGGCAGAACGCGGTATTGTGACAATATGCTAAATAAGTCTCCATTCATAGGAAACAATCAGAAGGCCTGCACTTCCCAAATAGAGCTTAACCTAAAACCCCAGAGCTATTCTACGCTGAAATGTCATCGCCCCCCAGTCTGCCACTGGAAAAGCAGCAACAGGTCCAAGGTCACTTGCCATTTTCTTGAGCAAATCTGGAGGCTTCTAGGAAAGTGACCTCACGCTCTGCGTCCAGGTCCTTCTTGTTCCCGCAGAGGATGATGACGATGTTCTGGCTGGCTAGCATTCTGGCATCTGTTAACCAATTAGTAAGCGCATTGTAGGTTTCTCGGCTGCGTAATACAAGATTGTGAAAATAATACATGTATTTTATAAAACTAGCAACTCTTTCCGGTCATTCACACTACGCACACTGCTTTTAAACACGTCAGGGCAATGCCGGCAACCTTTAAGGTAACTCAGCCTGAACACCCCGAGGATGCACGCACCCCCAGGGTTTGTTTTGCTTTGTTTTGTTTCCAGAAAAATGAGACAGCAAATCAGATATTCTATTGTTTTCTGTTTGCCCAATCCAGGTACAAAAGGCAACAGTTCATTAATTTTACAAATATTAGTTGAGCTCATAGTACGGGAAACACAAGATCTAATAGCTAATTGTTGCCGTTGAACAAATCCGTGCAATACGCTGGTACTTTATTTCATAGGAATTGATCACACCGATTCTTTGTAAGGCTCTTTGTCACAGACTCTGAGGCCCGGAGAGACAAATTAAGTTACCCAGTCACAGAGCAGCCCGTGGCCGAGCCAGGATGTGGCCAGGCCTTCTCTGACTCCAGGACCAACTCTCAGAGACGCTGTTTCTGGCCCTCACATAGCGACAAACTTCCCCTCCGGCGCTTTGACAGCCCAGGGACTTGGCGGCGTGTTAGCAGGCAGGGCCCTTCCGCCGGGTGCGCGTGGTGGGTGTGGGCCAGGGCGCCTCATTCCAACCCCAGGGCCTGTGTCACAGAAGCCCAGGAAGGCCCTGCAGTGGGCACGTTCCTACCCAAAAAGGGCCCCGGGGGGCCGGTTTAGACGCAGGTTTCTATGGCCGTGCAGCCAACACCGAGGCCAACGCCATGTGACAGGAGTTTTGCCAGGACAGGCAATTCTATAACCTGCACCGGTGCGGCTCCTGAGCTCCTGAAACGGGGCGAGTGAGGCCAAGGAACTGACTTTTTAATGTCATTTAACTGCGCTATGCGGCCGACAGGTGCACACAGGACAGTGCGGGCTTAGGTCCTCGTGACATGCCGGCAGCTTTACATTAACCAGTCAGTGCGCCCGCCCAGTCACCCCCTGAGCGTTTCGCCACCGCCATCACCCCATCCTACAGACACGGGAACTAGAGTCCGGACAGCCGGGGCACCCTGCCCGAGGACGCCGCCCGCCAGGGACCCAGAGCTGAGACGCAGCCAGGCCGTCCAAGCCCTTCGCCTGTGCCCTCAACCTCAGTCAATGTCAAGTATTTCTAATAATCTACCACAGGTGAAGCTTCACTTTGTGGACCTTAAGGAAAGTGTCGAAGCATCTTGTTAGGACACATCATGATGCTTATCTAGGTAAATGCTGATGAAGATACTTCTTTAGGTGGTCAAGCTGTGGCAGAGGCCGGTTCAAAGCCTCCAAGACCCCAGACGAAAGGTGGAGGGGCTTCCCGACTCCCAGCCTGTCGGCCTGTTGCACAGAGTACACAGCGCGCGCAGGCGCGCCCGCACCCAGGGCACTGCAGGGGGCAGCCCGGCTGCCTCTTCCGCGGGGGGCTCGGGGGGTCTGCATTACCTGGTGATGTCGTAGACGAGGAGAGCCCCTGCGGCGCCTCTGTAGTAACTTCTGGTCACAGACCTGAAAGAGTCACACTGCTTTTACTTTCAACGAATCAAGGTCCCTCGTGGCTGAGCACCATCTTCCACACTGAAGCACCCATTTTGGCTTTGCAAACCACAACACAGGGACAGATGTCGTTTTAAGAGCCGTGACTCAGCCCTGGCTGGTGTGGCTCAGTGGACTGAGTGCCGGCCTGTGAACTGCAAGGTCACTGGTTTGATTCCCAGTCAGGGCACAGGCCTGGGTTGCAGGCCAGGTCCCCCGTGGGGGGCGTGCGAGAGGCAACCAATGAATGTTTCTCTCCCTCTTTTTCCCTCCCTTCCTTTCTCTCTAAAAATTAAACAAAAAAAGGGACGTGACTCCAAGATATCCAACATACATATAAGGAGCTTCTTCTGTCTGAAATCATGCCACAGAAATAACGGGGAGGTAGGGACACTAAGCCAGGACAAGTATGTCCTCTAAAAGGAGAGCGAAGCTCTTCCGCAGACCTTGCAAGTCCTCTGAGAACTTACAAGGGTGCGTCTTCCGAAGGCGCAAAGGGAGCCACCACAAACCCCAGGCGGGGCTAAGAACTGCGCAGCCCTACTCTGCTTCCTCTGGGGGTCCCAATCGCCCCGCTCCCTGGCGCAGCTGCCTGGGCCACGAGAAGTCCTTGGGCGGGGACCACGGATCAGAGCCCCGGGCCGTCCTCACCGCGCCACCTTCCTGTACCCAGCGCAGCGGAGCGCTGCAGCGCGTCTCATCTGTCATGCTCAGAGGCTGCTCTCTTTTGGTAACACTTTCTCGCCTGCATCATCAATCTCCCTCGTGTTTGCTTTTTCTCATTAGCAACATAAATTTGCTGTGGGGTCTTCCATCTTAAGAAATAACAGATGCCACCCAGTTCTTTCAGCCGCCAGCCCGCAGCTCTTCCCGCGTGCGGATTTCTCAGGAGCTGACTGCACCTGCCGCCTCCTCGCCTCCCCCTCCCCCTCCCCCTCCGGCGCCCATCTCTGCTCCTCCACCGGAACAGCCCGTCGAGGTCACCCAACCTTCAGTGTCTGAACCCGGGGCGTCCTGGGTCCTCATCCCTCGCCTCGCCCTGCGCTCCCCGGCGCCTTCCTGGCCCGGCCCCTGCGGCCCCATCTCCGCCCCTTCCTCCTCTCACCCGCTGCTGCTCCTCCAGCTCCGGGGCATCCTGACTCTGCCCTGGTTGCGCCCCAGTCCCCGGGGCTGGGTCCCTGCTTTTCTCCTCATTCAGATTTAACCTTCAGCCCAGACTACTTCTGTGAGATCCAACGGTGGCCCCGCGTTTCCAAGAGGCTGCCCAGGGGCCCTGTCACACTTAACGTGGGGGAGACAGACTCTGGGTCCCACCCTCCAGGCCCCTCCTGGGGGGAGGCGCAAAACACAAAGCAGGGGTTTAAACTGCCAGACGTCTCTTCATCCTTGGCTCTTCTTTTCGTCCGTCTCCACGCTGGGCCTCTTAGCCAGGCCCTGTGCGACCACGCCCCACACTGTGCACACCTTCCCAGCGGCGTCCTAAACCACCGCCTGGTCTTTGCCAGGGCCTCCGCGGCTGCCCAGGGCTGCTGTCCCCACGACCACTTCCGTCCCTCAGCTTCACTCTCCAGAGCAACGACGCCTCGTCAAGGCTGATGAGGCGCGCTGTGCTCAGGGGCTGGGTTTGAGTTCGTCACCAACGGAACCTCAGCATTCACTTCCCACATGCCTTGCCCCAGCTGTCTCTTCCTTCAGCGGTTTCTGAATTGCACCCTTTAGAATAAACTGGTAACAGCAAACTCAGTGCTTCCCTAAGTTCTGTGAGTCATTCCAGTGAATTATCCAAGCCTTGGGGCTGGGGGGTATGGAAACCCCTGGATTTGTAGTTTGCTGGGCAGACGTGAGGGTGGCCTGGGCACCCCATTTGTGACCGGGGTCCATGAGTGGCGGCGGCCTTGTGCGACTGCGCCCTTAGTCTGCGGGGCTGAGGCTTCTCCAGATAGTGTCAGAACTGAATTAAATTGTTGGACACCCAGTTGGTGTTGGAGAATTTGGCTTAGCCCCACATTTGATGTCAGAAAATAGACCCCACAGAAATGAACAACACCTACGTTATGGGGGGAACCCGTGAAACCTACAGGAAAACTCAGCACCGCTCCTTATTACTGTATGTGATGGAAAGGCAGCTATTTTTATTTGCTTTTAGCTTTAACCTCCTGAGGCAGGCATGTGGGGAAGTTCCCCTTCCCTGTTATTAGGTCGCTACCACAGAAGACACAGGGTGCGAGGGACAGATTGTCAGCTCTTCCCTCGGTAGCGGGAGGTGGGGGGGAGGGGCCTCTTCTTCACCCATATTAGGAGGCCACTCTTCTATTTTAGCTTCAGCAGACATCTAGCTCTAGAAAAAGAGGTGTCTAAGAGTTCTCCTCAAGATACAGCATATTAACATCTGTTTCTTAATAATTTATTTTAAAATTTATTTTTACAACACTGTATCTTGACATACGGCTTCTTACATAAACTATTCAAGTACGTAAATTTAAGCATTTAAGGTTACTTTTTTGAGGTATTAAGTTTTTTCCTCCAAAAGTTATTTAAACCAAAGTGATACAGGTACAGAGTTTTAAAGTAAAATATTGGTAAAAGGCTGGACATGAAACGCCGCTGTCTCCTGCCTCGTTCTGAATCCGCGCCCCCCCCCCCCCCGTCCCCTCCTCTGTGACTACGCTCCTCCAGGACTTGATTTTCTTGGATTGATGACTTACTCATGGTGAACACCTATGTGCTAGGCTTCACTCTGGGCTCTGGAGAAAAAAACCCCAAAATACAAAAATCCTTACTGGGAAGCTTATAGTTTCATTTTTCTGGTATTTGTTTCTGTATTTCTAAAACTGCTTATCAAATGATTTGAATGATTAATTTTGGGGCTTACGGCTTTCCTGCTTTGATAAAGAATCTTTGGCTCACTTGTCCCCCCACCCCCACCCTGCTGGCCGGCAGCGCCATCTCACGAGGTCTCCATGTGACGCTTCCTGTTCTCGGCCAGGCACCTGCCACTTTTGGGGTCCTCGCCCGCCCCTGTGTCCGTCACGCATAAGCTCCTGAAGCCTCTGCCCACCTTCTTGGGTATCTCGAGGAATTCCGGTTTTACTTTCACACGTAACGGACAGCGGGGTTAAGTTTTAAATTTTAGGTTGGAAAAGAATGTTTCACACTGAGTTTTGAAGGCAATGCTTCAGTATTTTCTAGCTCTCAAATGTTGCTGTTGAATGGTGCGGCGTAATTCCCATTTCTAATCCTGTACGTGTGACTGTTTTTCCTCTTGGAATCTTTTTGTTTTCTCACTTCATCCCTTGTGCTCTGAAATTTCACAGGACATGCCCTGGTCTGGATATCTTTCCCACTCAGCTATTTGTATTTGGCGTGAGGTGGGCTAATGCCTCTGGAATCGTAGCCCTTCAATGGAAAATTCCCTTTGACTGTTTCCTCTGCTGCTGTCTTTTAGAACTCCCAGTAGCCAAGCATTGGGATTCTTGAATTAATTCTGTATTTTTTTTTATGTTGTCCCTCCTCTTTTCATCTCAAATTTCTTGTTTAACTTTCTGGAAGATCACTACTCTATTTAACATATTATTTTAATGGCTCTTTTTAAAATATAATTTTGTTCTTATTACTTGAATGCCATCTCTGCTCTTATTTCTGAGAATACTGTAGTTTTAGTGTTCTTTCCTGTCCCCTCAAACTCACTTTTTACTTTGGGCTCTTTCTTTTATTTTAGAAATGTTCTTCAAATGCCTGGGATCCTTGGTGTCCTTTATATTCAAGAGCAAGGAAAGAAAACGTGTTCTATAAGCAGCTCTTTCAGTGCGGGGTGAGACTTCACTGTAGGAAGGATGGACAGAGGCTGGGCTGTTCTACTGGGGAACTGAAACATTAGCATCTTAAGACCTTCCCTTTGGGGCTATTGCTTTTCTGTAGAGAAGAATCACTTCTCCTTCCTGAAACACATCCTCCCGGCTCCCAGCACCTAGGGAGGCGGTGTGGGAAAGGGCTAGGCTCCCAGGCCTTCAATAAATTCCCTTCCTTGCAGCCGTGCCTAATCCCTGCCCTCTGCTGTGCCTTCTCACCTGGGGGGTGGACCTGTTTCAGCCGGAGACTCAACCTTGCACTGTGCACACGCACACACGACATAAACGCATGAACCCCTCCCTCCTGGAGAACCCGATGCTCCCAAACCCTGACCTTTTCTGGGCCTCATCAGGGAGAAACGGCTCATCCTGGGCAACGGCTGCCCCCAACTACCAGCACTTTCAGATGTAGCCCCTTCTGCTCTAAGCGAGTCCCTACACCATCCGTTTCGTATCTGTAACATTTTATCTGAAATGTTCGCATTGCAATTGAGCATTCTCCTTTTTTTCATTTAAAAATTTATTATCTTAGTTAATACTATCTCAGTTATTTTATAGTCACTTCAGTAGGGCTTTGGGGATGAGAAGACATAAAAGTTGGGTTGAATCCACCATGTTTAATCAGTGCTTTTCCAGAATGATTGTGACTAAAAAAGATTACAATATTTTTGAAGCAAACAATTATTGAGCATTTAGAATATAACACAAAAACCAAACTAAAGTCACATACGTAATTAAGTGAAATGCTTGCGGTGTGAGTTAATTTTATTTAACCGAATTCTGAAACTGGAATACCTGTTCTGTTTTGACTGTGTATGTGCATCAGTAATCTAACTAAAACACTGCGCTACCTCTGCTTCGGTAGCACCAGCATAAGACACATGGAACCCCAGAGCCCGGCAGGGATCTGGGGTCGGCGCCAAGCGCGTTGGTTATGGCCGGTGTGCCATCTAAGTGTGGAGGAGAGAGAGTATTTTGTGGAATGTGTATCAACCATCAGGACACACTCTACTAATGTAAAGAAAACCCAAAACCTCTTTTAAAAGTTCTTTTCAAAAAGTGAAATATGGAGAAAAATTGTTCGTGTTGTTAGTTGGCCTTGTACCTCTAAGGTGCTGTGGAATAGGCAATGCCATGTCCTAACGTCCTCAGTAGTTCCATGAACAAATTAGCCCTGAAATTAGGATGCACTCACTCGGGACAGACTTTAATGATTCCTTTGGTAAACCGATGCTGCGTGGAGAAACTGACTCGTAGTTTTTTTTAGTTTGTCTGAAAGCTTCTGGAGGTGAAACTTCTAACATTTGTGTGAGGGGGCCGGCGGGGCGGGGGCACATACAGTAAGAGAACGTAATCGATCATTTCAAATGCAATTTTCAAACATTACTACTAAGTTAGAGAGAAAGCTACCTGAATCGTTCTTGGCCTGCTGTATCCCATATCTGCAGCTTTACATATTTCCCACCAACGTTTATTATCTTTGAACCAAATTCCACTCCTATTGTATGATTTGAGTCATCTTTGACTGAAAAAGAAAAAAGAACACGACAGTTAGTTTCAGAGCAGTCAGGGAACAGGCGTACAGATTTGAACAAGCAGCACTCAAACAGGGTTAAATCCGTGGACGGTGTTGCTTCCTTCGGCCCCTCATTGCTCCAGCAGCCAGCTGACCAGCAGGCGCTGTTCAAAACACAACGCACACAGCCCCTATTCTCAAAGAGACAACAAAGCTTTTTCTCAAAACCCCTAAAACAAACCGCACATGCTAAAGCCTGCGCCTGGAGCTGGCCACGAGGAATGAGAGCCGGGTGCCCGGGGCCACCACCGCGGCGCTCACAAGCGGCGACTGCATCAGACGCCCGGGGACACCTTGAGGGGCTTACTGCCCAGGGACAGATGTGCAACTTGGTCACTAATGAGGGAGCGCGCGTTTCAACTATTTGGGTGGAGAAATATTCTAAAGAAATCAAAGGGAATAAAAAGGCCTCAAAAGAAACTTGATGGAGCCCAAATATTAAGAGGAAAAGATGAGTAGACAAAACAAAAACCAAACCTCCAAAACAAAGCTCCATGCACCGCACACTGTGGCTGCTGAGTTTTCAGGAATTTCAGTACCGTGTGGCAGGAATTTGGAGCGGGTCTGTTAGAGAAGCCACACTACCTGCGCGCATGGGGGAGGCAGGCCCGACCGCTTGGCCAAATCCAGCCGCAACGTGCTGCCTGGAGGAGACCGGCTGCGGTGACCCGCGTGCCGGGCGTTCACGGTGTCCCGGAGGTGCGGGAGATAGAAGGTTGATCCTGCCTACACCAGCCGGTCTTGGGCCCAGTCAGCGTGGAACTAGCATGGACATTTCTCTAGAACGACGTCACCAGGTAACCCTCAGAGCAAAAGCCTTCAGAGGGTGACGGCTGAGGCCAAGGGCACCCTGAGTTTGACAAGGCCACGAGAGAAGTGCCCTGTTACGCCGTGACCTCAGACCGTGCAGACTAACCAACGTTAGGGTCAGGGGACAGCATTCCAGGGAGGGGAGAGGAGGACGGGGCCGGCCAGGTCCCTGGCCCAGCAGCCTCTGGGTGTTTCTTCTGAGATGGCGCGATGCAAAGCCTCAGCCACCTGCGAGGGGGCCTGGGCTGCCCGGGGGGAGCCAGTGAGCACCGGGCCCATGGCGAACCCACGCGGGGCCTGTGCTGGTAAACAGAGCTCCCAGCAAACTCCGGGCTGATGGAAATGGAGGCAGCAGAGTACGGTTCTAGAGTTTTATTCTTCTTCAAAGCTCTTTGCCAAGACACTTCATCCTGCCTCTTTCCCTCCATCTTACCCATCACCTCAGGTATGGAACAGCACACACTTGCTTAAGATGCACTTCATTAAATGAAATTAATTCTGTGTTCATGCCTACCACTAAACAGGGCATTCTCCGCAAGTCTTTCCATTACTATAAAAAAAGCACTATTTATAAAGGCCTTTCAAACTTACAGCTTTTTACAATAGTCTGGACTAAAACATCCAACCTCCCTTATCAAAACAGTGCAAGTCAGTGGCAAAAGACAGATTCTGTGGTCGAAAGGTCATTTACTAGGTGACCAGTTAGTAGGTGCCCATCCCAAGAGCACATCCTAACTTCTCTAAACCTGTTTCTTTACCTGTGAAAGAGAATGGAAGACAATAACTGCCTTCACCGTAACACCAGGCCACTGAGGACCGAATGTTCTTGGTTGACCCAAAATGTGCTACGAGGCCTTCTCGGGCTGCTTCCTGCCCGGAAATGAAACTCCCTTTCCGTCTTCCCCATCATCGTGTGGTATGTTAGTATGTGGCCCATGTACAGTAGGAGTAACTATATACTGAACAATGAACCATTACAAAACCAAAATGCTAACATAAGAGCCTCAGTCATATTGCAAAAAGTTTAATACCAAACTTTTCATGTTACTTTCAAACATTTTAAGCTATGACTTTATCCTTCCTGAAAAAATATTCAGAAGTTTTGCTGTAAACAAAGCTGAGCAAGAGGGCACTCTGAGAAGGTGTGCATGAGACAATGACCATTTCATGTCACTTACATTTCTTCTCAATAAACTGATGAAGTAAGCAAGACTTGCCGGTTCCTGCGTTTCCAATAACCAAGAACTTAAACAAAAAGTCTGAAAAACAAAAGAGGCCATGAAGAATAACTTTAAAACAGGTGCTATACATTTATTCTTTGACTACAATTACAAAACTTAATGAAATCTCAATTGTCAATATAAAAGAGGTGACGTATATCTTGTGAAAACAGCCACGAACAGGCTGACTTACCTGCTGAGTGAGGGTGAGTGAGCAGGAAGGCCTGGGAGGCTCCCGCACTCCAGCGACCGTGGCCTTGAATGGACCCTGTGCCCTGAGGCTACACTAAGTGTATAGAACAATGCTCTTCAATAATTAACCTGAGCTTACTGTAAACTTTTTACTCTGTATAAACTCTAAAATTAAAAAAGATCTCAACTCTTCTATAACAACATTTAGCTTTAACACAAGCATGCTGTACAGCTATACAATGCTTTCTTTATATTCTTAATCTAAACCTTTCTTTCTGTTTTTGAAATATATTTTTTTTTTTACTTTTTAACCTTTTTTTTGTTAAGAACTCAGGCACAGACACACACGTTAGCGTTGGCTTACACAGGGTCAGGATGACCAACATCACACTCTTCCTCCTCCCCATTTTGCGCCCCCGGCGGGTCTCTGGGGCAGGACCACGTGTGGAGCGCCCCCCAAGAGCACACTTCTGGAACACGTTCCCAAGGGCCAGCGCAGGCTCTCCTCAACGAGGTCTCCCTTTCCAGAAACAGGGCCGTGGGGGTTTGCTTGGTTTTTGTTCTGTTCATTGCAGGTTTGCTTGTAAGCAGCTACTGTAGCCTCTCTATGAATGAAAAACCTTTCGGTGTTCAGGGGTCCGTGCTTTCAAACTTTTTAAGAAGCTGCTTGAGGTCTGCAAAGGCTTTAAAAATTTTGCTAAACTCTTCACTATGAATTTTCATGGCGGTTCTTTGTTTTTTCCCTTTCCTCTCCTACAGTTTCCTTTTCTCTTGCCTCTTCTTCAGCTCTGTGTCCTGCTCCGGCTCCAACACCTCCTCATTAGCCGGTCCTCAGGGACTGCCTTTGGAGCTCCTCAGTGTGGTCCTCATCCACACCCAAGTGAGAGCGGTTGGCCGGCTCAACCACAGCCTGGCTGTTCTTGCAGCCTCTTCACCATTGGCAGATTCTTTGACATCGTAGCCTATGAACTCACTAGGCGACAGGCATTTTTCAGCTCCACTGTATATGGCTCATGGTCACATCTGTGGCCCGTCACTAACCGAAACATTGTTATGCGGCCCATGACTGTACTTGGTACTGACTGTTAACCTACCATAAATGCCAAAGTGAGAGGCAACCAACATTTATTTGAGATTCAAAAGATGAGTTGTTTGGGAAGAATTGATTCAGGAAGAAACCCAAATAGTGTTCCAGTTAGGCCAGGGGTATTTATGAGAAAGAAGGACAATTACATGAGTGGAAGGAAGACATTTCTATAGGTGATTAGCTAACACAGCGACGACATTCTACAGAATGCTCTTCCTTCCCAGGCTGGCAGGCATGATACCTGCTTTCTTGTTATCTTTGCAAATAGTTCTTTGGGATACAATGTGCGGAGGCCCAGTCCGAAGTCATTTTCCCCATTTTATCATTCCGAAGGTTTGAAGTCTAGGATGTGCAAGCCGGTTCCTCTGGATGGCAGTGGCGACTCCATTTTAAAGTGGCTCTCTTTATGTTATTTTTCATATAACCAACAAACTTCTAAATAATCCATGATTTAAAAGGAAGTCTCATGGGAAATGGAAAAATACACTGAACTGACTAGAATACAACGTATCAAAATGTGTGGGATAAAACCAGAGCATCGCTGAGAGGAAATGTAAGGCACTAAATGTACACGTTAGAAAAGAGCAGGTGGGTGGAGGGGGAAGAAGGTGTAAGGGCGACAAATGGTAATGGGAAAAACACAATAAAATAAAAAAAAAAAAGAAAGAGGAAAAGTCTTGATCAGTGAAGCTTCTACCCTCAAGAATCCTCAAGAATCTAGAAAAAGAAGAGCAAAATAACTTTGAAGCATGAAGAAAGAAAACAATAAAGAGATCAATGAAACTGAAAACAGAAAAACAAGAGAAAAAAATTCATGAAAAGCAGTGCAGGCTCCTTGAAAAGATCAGTGAAACTGGCAAACCTTGAGCACAAGCGTGGTGAGCTCAAGGACCCGGGGCTGGACAGAGAAAAGAAAAAGACCAGCTCGTGCAGGAGCCCGCACACCACACGCGTGATCTGGGCAGCACCGGACAGCTGCTGGGAGGGAAGTCCTGCACCGCAGGGGACCTTCCTGACACGGTGCCCAGGAGGGAACAGGGCATCAGAGGGGCGCTTAGGTGGCTAGGTGACGTCGCTCAACAGTCGGTGGGCGGCAGTAGCTTGAGATCTTGTCTCATCAAAGGTTAACAGATGGTGAAAGCAATTTCACAGGGTATGCAAAGCAGGCCATCTTTAGATGGCTACAGTGTGCTTATTTGGGCTGCGTTTAACAGCAACTGAACAGGTAAGAACTTGAGATTGGTGCTGGCAAGCTTTGAACGAATGTCCCGTCTTGCCGTGAAGAAGAAAACAACCTGGGGGCCAACATACCGGGGTCATCTTTAACCCATTTGTGCAACAAGGACTGACGGAGGAAAAAAAGGGGAAGACACAAAGAGCCAATATCAGGAATAAAGCGGGCAAATCACTACTGACTGTACATACATCAAGATGATAACAAGGAAATAACACGGATGACTCTACACATGTAACTTCACGATCAGGTGAAATGGGCTAATTCTTCGGAAACAGGAAGTACAACAACTCACCCAACATAAAACGGAGAATTGAACAGCCCTAAAACTATAAAGAACATTGAATCTGTAATTTTAAAACTCACCAAAAAATATGTTCAAGGCAAGAATGGTTTCACTAGAGAATTCTACCAAACATGAGAAAGGTTCAACAGTAATCTATCTACACAACCTCTTTGAAAAAATAGAAGGGGAGGAAAACTTTCCCCAGACATTTTATAAAGCTATTTTTACCTTGATACCAAAACTGGGAAAAGACAGCAATAAAACAAAACAAACTACAGAACATTATCGCTTATGAATATTTAATAAAATATTAGCTAACTGAATTCAGTAATATATTTACATATAAAGTTATACATGATGACCAAGTGGACTTTATTTCAGAGATGAAAGGCTAAAATATTTGAAAATCAATCAATATCATTACACTATAAATAGGCTAAAAGAAAAAAAATCACATGATCATATTAATTGATACAGAAAAAGCATTTCACAAAAATCAACACTCATTCATGATAAAAACCGAAGAAACAAGAATAGAGGAGAACCTCCTCAACTTGATAAAGAGCATTTTAAAAATTCTACGACTAATCTTGTTAGTGAAAGACTGCTTTACCCCTAAGATCGGGAACAAAGTAGGGAGGTAGCTCTCACCACTATTCAATATCATATATGGAGTTGTAGCCAGTGCAATTAGGCATGAAAAAGAAACAAAGGCATACAAATCAAAAAGGGAGAAATAAAATTCTCCCTATTAGCAGATATGATTGTCTACATGGAAAATCCAAGGAATCTCATTTAAAAAAGAAGCCCTCTTACAACCAGTAAGTGAATTCAGTAAGGCAAAGATAAAAATCAATTGTATTTCTACCTACTGACAGCAAACACATGGGCATCAAAATTAAAAATAGAAGACCACTTACAATCGCTCAGAAAATACTTAGGTGTAAATCTAACAAAACGTGTAAAGGGGCTTCTATGTTAAAAACTACAAAATACCAATGAAACAAACAAAAAAATCTAAATAAATGAAGAGACATATTGTGTTCATGGATTAGAAGAGACTTAGTAAAGATGTCAATTCTCCCCAAATTGATACGTATGTTTAATAAAGTTCCTATTAGAATGCTAGCAAGACTATTTGGTACATATAGACAGGATTATTCTAAAAGTTATATGGAAAGACAAAGGAACTAGAAGAACTAAAACAATTTTGAAAAATAAGAATAAAGTGGAAGGAATCACTTTACCTGATTTGAATGTGGCTACAGTAATCACAACTTTGTGGTATTATTGGAAGGGAGAGAGACAAAAGATCAATGGAACAGAATAGAGAACTAAAAAATGGACAGATACTAATACATCCAATCAATTTTGAAAGTGCAAAAACAATTTAACAGAAGAAAGCGAGCCTTTTAACAAATGGTGCTGAAGCACATGATCATCCATAAGAGGGGAAACTGACCTATAACCTAAGTCTCATATCTTAAGAAAAATTAATTCAAAATAAATCATTGACTTAAAGATAAAACAACACTTTAAAACTTTTAGGCAAACTATGAAATTCTTCAGAAACTATGGCTAATCAAAGAGTTCTTAGATGTCACACACACAAACACATACACCCCCAACCAGAAGAGGAAAAACTGATAAAAGGGTCGTCATCAAAATTGAAAACCTCTGCATTGTAGGAAATTTTGTTAAGACAATGAAAAGACAAGCTGCAGACTGGGAAAACAATTTGCAAAACACATAACCAACAAAGGACTAGCAACATCTACAATATCTATGTTTTTAAAAACCCTCGAAAGTCCACAGTAAAAATAAATAACCAATTTTGGACATAGGACACAAAGAGACATTTCACCAAAAAGGATATACAAATGGCAAAAAAAGCACATTAACCTTTCTTTTTAACATCATGAGACAATCATTAGGGAAATGCAAATCAAAGCCGCAGTGAGGTATCACCGCACCCCTACGGAACGGCTCACAGGAAGAACCGCGAGGCCCTTAGAGCGGGCGCGGCCCGGAGCCTGGGCCGCTCGCACTGGGCCGGCGGAGACACACAGCGGCAGCGCTGCCCTGGGGAACCGCTTAGACATTTCTTAAAAAACGAAACACGCAACTCTCAGCAGCTGCACCCCAGGCACGTATCCCAGGGAACCGAAGACTTATGTTTACATGACACCCTGCACATGAATGTTTATAGTAGCTTTGCTCGTAGAAGCCAGAACACTGGA